TAGATAACGAAATTCATATGTAAAGCGTACGACCTACATATTTAATAATAAAAAAAGTTGTTCGTGCAAAATTACTAAAAAGTGATTTATTATTATGTAAAATTCAAGCACTTATTTTGCCATTCAAATATCGTAATTATTAAGCCATACATTTGGCGTTGATTAAAGATCATCTTTTATTTAATTAATAATAATTAAATCACCTTTGGGTCAAAATAGTATATTATCTATCAAGTTTGATAAAAGCCATTTTATACACGAATTTAATTTAGGCACGAGCGAGCTGGCGAGCGAGTGCTTAAATTAATGAGTGTATAGAAAAGTTTATAAACGAGGTGCATACTATACTTTTTCTACGACAAATACTTATTATTATCTTAAAATGAATTAAATCAAAAATTTGTATAGAGCGCCATCTATCATACAATAGGGGAATCTGTGTGTACCGTCAAAAGTCAAATTAAACAGAGTAAATCGAAATGTATTTCTTGAAAATTGACAGTTTTTCACAGTGAAAGTAAAGAAAATGTTTTTTCTACTTCTATTACGGAATTTGACCGTTCTAATATCACTTTTATCTATGGAATGACATATATTCCATAAAGTGTTAAAGATTGAAATATTCTATCATCGGATGACAGAATAAACACTCGTGGCGACATCTCTATTTTTAATATCTAACAAATTTTAGACCGATCCAACCTCACTTTCTTCCAATTAAATTATTTTTCTATGGTATTTTTTGGAAACTTAGAAAAAGTATAGGTAGTCTGAAACACGTTCGGAATTGCATATTCCGCTCTCGTGAAACCGTCAAACTCGCCTTCGGCTCGTGTATTCCAAACTTGTTACAGAATATACTATTATGAGCACTTTACAGTGAGTCCGTGCCCGAATTTAAGTTATAGTTTAATGCCGGCGAAATTTAAAGGTCAGTACAATGTTCATATAAACTTTTCAAATATTGGCGTTGAGAAACTATTTAATACTTTTGTATTTTTGTATTGAGATAATAAAATAATTTTCACATTTAGTATTATTTTACAAGAAAGGCAATTTATTTTAACGATTGTATGTGATTTGACAACTGTCAACTAACTTAAAACTAACTTCAGCCCGTGACTAAAGCGCCATAAAGCCACAACTTGTCAATGTGTATTTAAAAGGTCACTTAGTGTCATGGAAACATGTACGATAAAGGGCGTTTTAAAGGTGGGAGTAGAAAAAAATGTTTATTTCGACATTTAAATGTTTTTTCAGCTGTTGATTTCACTGAATAATAATATTTTTTTATGTTCTTGATAGTAACATTAAATCGTGATTTTTATGTAGATATTTTTAATTTTAATTATTTTTTACATAATTGTCAATTTTGAAACAAAATACCTACATACAAGTAATTTTTCAAGACTCTTTATATAGGGTGTCTAAAGCGAAAAATATGAACAACTTTTTGTCCGATTTGAATGAAATTCACAAAATTTTGTTAAAAACATGATTTTTAGGGGGAATAACTTAATGAATGTGTATATATTTTTTTTTTAATTTAATTAAGACCCATCGCTACATTACCAATGTTGCGCAATATTTGATTAACAAAATATATATGGGTCATTCCACCAATATTTATATATTTTTTTGATTTGATCTCTTATTATTAAGTATCTAGGTACTTTTGTTTTGAATTTTGACTATATTTCTTTTAAAAACTTTTTAGTTAATTTTTTTTATAAGGATGTATCTATATATTTTCAGCAATTAGTCAATTAGCATGCAACAGTAGCCACTACATTAATGTAGTAACAATAGTAAATTTCTAAAAATAACATGAACTCTGGATAATTATTTAATAAAGGTTTAAAGATAATATGCTTTCTTGAGTAATTTAACGGTAATCTATTTATTGGTTTTACTTTTTACTTAATGGTTTTTTCATTGCACAAAACATTTCATTAAAAAAAGTATATGTTGACCTATTGCATTTTGCCAATAAATTGAAGGTTTGCAAAATTAATTAATTAATTAATTAATGCTTTCACAAGTCCTAAATTTTATTGCAACTATTGTTATTACTCAATTTCTAATAAGAAGACAGCATTAACCGTATGTTTGATTTCTTTAATCATAATATAATTAATAAAAATGGAAGGTAAAACTAAATTATCTTTAAAATATCGGATCATCAGGTTTTGCCTGACTGATTTTTAGATACAAATAATTTAATCAATTAATATATGTAATTTAATGCTTTCGAGTGCATTAGTACAGTTTATATAGACATTGTTTGACTTTTTAAGGAAGTCTTTTTGTAGATACGCTGTATTGTTTTCATATTAAAAGGAACGGTTTTTTTATTGACTTGATTACTTGTTTGAATTTTATATGAACTTTTAGTTTGCAAAGAACTAAATTAATTGTTATACATGATGAAATGAAACCTTCTTGTAAAAAATATTATATTTTACATACATGCTTTTTAAAATCTTTTATGTAGGTTGTTAAATGTTCTCACCAAGGATTAAACATTGATTAAAAGATTTGGTGAACAAGTTGTTGGCATTTGGGATTATAAGGAAACATATCAAGTTGCTTAATTTTAAACTGGCACCTAAATTAACAACCTACGAAGCTACGAGGTTAACAACGTCTTATTTTTGTATCAAAAAATCTAATATAATTTTAAAATTATAATATTGCTTGCCATTATAGAATATTATAAATAATGCAATAACAACAAAAGTTAATGATAACTGAACTGAAAAGGAAAGGAAACAATCGTTTAACCGTTTCGCGTATAAACAGCGAGACCTTGCGAAAACCTTTAGCAATTATACAGATCATGTGCATAAGACGATTTAGTAAGATTGCAAGTAGCTACGTTTTAATTTAATTAATATTGAAATTAATATACTTATGTTGCTTTATAAGGAATTTCGGATTAAGTGGGTTCAATTTGTTTAGGATTTTAAACGATTGTATGCTGTATTTACTGTTGGTAATGGTGCCCTGATAGCACAGTTTATTCTAAGAATGATTTTTAAACCTTCCAGTGGGAATATTCTTAGGATCATGCTATATTTCTTCTAGTCATGTTCTAAGAATGTTTTTTAAACCTTACAGTGAGAATATTCTTAGGATCATGCTATATTTCTTCTAGTCATGTTCTAAGAATGTTTTTTAAACCTTCCAGTGAGAATATTCTTAGGATCATGCTATCTTTCTTCTAAAGAACAGGCTTAAAAGAAATATAGCATAATCCTAAGAATATTCTCACTGGCCTATAGGCAGGTTCTTAGAAGGTGCAAAGTTTAGTGGTAAAAATTAATCCACTCCAAACATATGCTTAGAATGTTGAGAAAGTAATTGCTATAGAAAGTTTATTTAGGAATATTCCTGAAACATTCTGTTAAGCATATTCAGTTCAGTTAGGTACCTATATACTAGTAAAATATACCATAATCTACTTATAAAGGTAACTATACTTATAAGTATAGTATACTATAGTATTAAATACTAAGTAAAAAACACAACCCAAAATATTTTTTTATAGTTATTTGTCAAATTAAAACAATATTCGATAACAAAAATACTTTTACTATAGGTATCTAAATTATGCGGCTTTTAAATAAAATCTTCTATCCAACTTAAATACAATGAAAAATGTTTTTTTTATGAAGAACTATTTGTTTTTTTCTTTTATGAAGAATTATTTTATAAGGAAATATTTTGTTTTTTTATATTTTATTTTATGTTAAAAATAAATATTTATTAATTTGTATACCGATATTTATTTCTGAATTAACATTTTTATGTATAATAATCCTAACTATCTTCAACTTCAATCTAATCTGACTTATCCCACAAAATTTTCCAATTTTACTTTTTATGAAATAATGTCATACAACTTATGGTTTAGAGGTCAAATTGTTTATTTAATATTTTTAAATAAATATATATTAATATGTCGCAAAATTTTTTAAGGGGACGACAAATACATTTCACTGTCATATTATGACAGTGAGGCGTATTTGTCGCCTCCTGAAGAATTTTACGAATATAGAATCCAATATATTAGAACGTTGGTATCTGACATATTTGGAAATATTCTCAAAAGCTTCCTAGAAGCTTCTAAGAACATTCCAAAAACGTATTCTTAAAATGTTCTTAGAATGCTTTTTGGGAAGGTTTTAAGAAGCTTCTAAGAATCTAATTGCATTATTAAAAGGGTATCTATTGAATGTTCTAAAAGTCCCTAAGAACATTCTTAGCAATAAGGGAAGGTTTTAAGAATATTCCATTATTCCGGGTCATATCTTAGAAGATTCTTAGAATAAAATTTTGCTATCAGGGTGGAAGCACTTATTTGTGAGTGGGGAAATATCGCCTCAAAACAACTAAGGTTGTACAGAAAATATGCAATTCCTTACAATATTTTGAGATCTAATGGCAACTTATTACAAAATTTTGGGATATTCAGTGTTGAGTCACAAATGATTTAGATACTTAAAAGTTAACTTTTACTGTTAAATAATATAGTTGTATAAATACTTTTTTACTGTAAAATATTACTAATTAAAACAATTATCTTTTTATGTATATTTTAAAATTAAATTCCATACATAATATTTTAGAGAAAGTAGACATTTATATCATAAATTCTAACACTTTACTAAACTGCAAATTGCTGACCTAGTAATCGTTATATAATTGAGGAAAAACCTATTAACATCATAGAAGATCAAATTACATAGTACCCATATAATAATTTGGAAACTTGTATTATACCGTGTCTAAAAACATAATTTGTATTTTGACAAACCGAACTCTTTAACATTTTACAGTTTATAAACTATAGTTTAATTTGATATTAATTTCTTAAGTGTACATAGAATATTACTCGTTATGTAATGTTGCTCCACTTTTACACAGTTCACTGAATTACATACTACCTATAAATATTATAAATAAGATTTTCTTTGAACGATTCATCTTTGTTTTAGAAACCCGACACCCCGGAACCGGAAAAACCTCAATCGCCTCCCAGAGGGCGCGGCAGAGCCCGTTTCTCAACGACCCCCGAATTCACCAAAATCTCGGAAACCCAAAAAGACGAGAGCGCGCCTGCGAGAAAGCGCGTCAATCCGGTCGCGTTGGAAAGAAGAACGCCGCCTGCGATACCCAGCAGGACTTACGCCGTCCAGGAGAACGTCGAGGACTCTCCCATCGAGTCGTTCAGAAGGCAGAGCAAGCCCAGGATACTGACTGAGTCCAGGTTCGAAGCTAGAAACGCTCCCAAAAAGGTAGTGTCGGAACCTGCAAGTAAACCTGATACAGTGGATGAGTTGTTTAATTCCTATGGTAGTAATGCGGCCGATAAAACTGAAGCTGCCACTGCGGAGACCACAGTAAAACAGGAGGTTACGTCGGAAGCTGAGAGTAGCACGGCTAGTACTGAGGCGGCTAAGCAAGAGAATGAGATCAAAAGGGAAACGACTAGATCGCAAAGTGAGGTAACCACACCTAAAACTGCTCCAAAACGTAGGACCAACGTTATAAGATCAAGAGTTAACCCTTCGCAAGTACCGGCTGAAAGCACCACAACTGGACGGTCCAGAGTACGCACCAGAGCAACCAGAAGACCTGACGAATCCAGTTCTACTGCAGCACCTTTGTTAAGATCCTCTGGAAGGAGTAGCAGACGCAATGGTGCATCGCTTTTTGTGGCGGAAGAGTCCCAAGATGCACCATCAAGATCTAGAACAGGTAGACGTATCAACGCTAGAGAAGAAGTAGTACCGGGTGATTTAATCACTGCGAGCACCACAAGAACTAGAGTGGTAACCAACAGAAAACCTTTGGGTTCCACTACAATAAAGCCTACTACGGGTAGACGTGGTAGTTCCAGGTTTGCCTCCAGTTTGCCTTCAACAACCACAGTTATACCTGCAAGAGATGCCGTTACTCCCAAGAAAACCCTGAGGTCTAGAACGAGAGTAACTCCCCCGGTATTCGATGAAACGAAACTGGAGGTGTTGCCTCTCTTCGAGGTGGAAGCCAAAACAGTTCTGCCACCGGGGGATATTCTCAAACCCAGCGCTTCCGGCAGCAAGTCCCGCTACCCGTCGAAACCAAACGACATCTCTTCGAGGGTAACGGTCTCGCACAGGGTGGAAACAAGACGGCAAACGTACTTCAGGCAAAAAACAACCACGAGAAAACCTCAGATCAAGGAAACCGTGGTAGCCCAAATCTCCGAGGTGACATCGAGAAGCAGCAGGAAGAGGAACAACGAAATACCTGTGGATGCCAAGAGTAGAGTAACTCAGCCCAGGATTTCTATCGGCTCGGTCGCAAGTAGGCGTAAGCCCGCCTCCGCTCTGAACAGGTCCACGCTCACGAAATCAGAAGAGGAGATCGATGACTCCGATAACTACCCACCGCAGTTCAAGGCCTTATTGCAAGCTAAAAAACTCAAACAGGTGAGATAAGTAATAGTTAATAGCTAAAATCGTTTTTATACAGCTTTATCTGCCAGTATTGTGCTTGATAATCATGTAATCTTTCTCTTCTTCTTTCAGTCTTATCTTGTCTTCTTTAAATTTTGCTTTGATATCGTCTAGCCATCCTTTTGGGGTCTTCATGAGACTATGCGATTGGTTCATTTATTATCTGCTTGTCTGGCAAGGAGCCCTGCCCAGTTTCATCGTCTGATATTTGCGATTTTCTTTGTTATAGATCTTGTGTTCTTCTAGCTTTTTTGCACTTTTCTTAGCAAGGATCATGGGCTACTTTAGCCCATTATGGATTTCTGGGTTTTTTATAACAAAGCCTAACTTTCCAAACGCTGCCCAGCTATGATGCTAGCCTAAGTTTGTAACCCAGGTCTACTGCTTCTATTATCTAATTTTCGATGATAACCTCTGTTTGAAGTGGCCTCATGATCTTCGTTTATCTTTAGGCCTGCTTTTTTTAATGTTGTGTTTAGCTGCCTTCATCATTGTTTTTACCTCTAAACCGCTGATTGATTATTCATCCAAGCAAAAAATCGGTTAGTAGATACTTGTTATCATTGATTACTGACAGTTCGGTTGTTATTGTGGTTTCTTTGGGGCTACATGAACAGTTTAGTGTACCAGAGCGAAGTTGACACATTAGGTGAGAAACAACCACTGCAGTGGCGGCTCAAATTTCTACTTTACTTATACAAATTTTCTTACTGGGCAGTTAGAAAGCAGTATATTTTTATAATGTTTTTTGTTCTTAATTACTCCAACATTAGGTGTTATATAGGGACTCAATCTGGGACCACAACTTGTATTTGATTTCTTTTGATGTTTTGGCTTTTTTTTGTATTTCAAAAATATCAACTGACCTTTTGATGGCAGTCTAGTGATGGTACTTATCAGAAACCAACTTCTTTCTCTTCCATATCTAACATATCTTCGATTTTGTTATTGATTCATCCTCGAAATAAGAAAGTATTCATTTACAAGTTGACGGAATTGGTTTAAGTTTCCAAAATGATATTTGGACTAATGATGTTGAATGATTTATATGTAAATTATAACCATTCACTTTCTTCTTTAATTTTATGTAGCCTTACACTTATTTTTTCTAAAAACTTATCTAAAAATTTACATTTTATATTTAAGTATTAAACATTAAAAAAACTCATTATCTTGTCATCCTTATTGTATGTAAAAAACAAACTAAAAACCCATATAGCGTGGGAACTTCTCTTGGATTATCTCACTTTATTCGCATAATACCAAACATAACTCGGTATTGAAGTCTCCGAAAACAATAGTTTGGCCGTAGCAATGACCCCGCGACGCTCGGATGTTCCAGGAGTCAAGGTCAGCGTCTGCAGAAGAACATTTACTTTGGTTCACTTAATTTTGTCTAAGAAGTATGTGGTAGATTTTGTATTGAACAAAACAATATCGTGACCATAACAACACCGCGATGTTCGGATGTTTTAGGAGTCAAGGCCGACTGCCGCAGCAACTAGCTCGTCTTCGTCGGAGAAAGAAGAGAGCATCAACAACCCGACGACGCCTACTACGAGCGTAACAACGGAAGTGCCGGTTGCACGCGTCATCAGCAGTACGGTCGCTTCGAGTACGACTGGTGCCGTTAGGGCCAAAGAGGTAAGTGCGATAATGAATTAATGGGTTTGATGGTACTGCCCAAGGATGACTTAATCTGTCCATAAGTCTTTTGGCAATTTTTTTTAATCACTTCAATCACATCATCGATACTCTTTCCTGGAACAAAAATCGAAGTTGATTCATAATCGGGAAACCAGGGCTTCATTGAATTCTCAAAACCACTTATATGCAGTTACTTAGTATGATGCTTCATCACCTTACTTATTAGGGTGTCCGTTATTTACCAACTTGGTTTTTTTGTTTACAGTGCCCCCTAAATTTTTAGTTTATGACCTAAAAAGAATTATAAAAAAAAATTAGAGATGGGAAAATTCCCATTTGACGAAAATTCCCGGAAACTTTCCATCGAAAATTCCGAAAGTTTCAAAAAAAAATTTTTTATTGCGAAAATATTTTTTTTTTATGCCAGGGATTTGCAAAAATATATAACACATTAACTTTTTGTCAAATTTTATTGAGAAAAAAAATTAAAAAAATGTTTATAAGAATGTAACTGCAATACTATTTTTAGTATCGTTTACTTTGGAATATTCCTATTGTATACTGAAACCTACAAAATAAAAATAAAATGTTTACTATTAGAAATTCACTGCTAGTAAATCCTAGATATTATGTAAAAAAAAATTAAAAGGGACAAAGTAACTAATATATAGGAATATTGAAAAGTAAAAAGTAAAGTAAAAATTAATTCCAAACACTAGATTTTTTTCTTGGCATTATGCTATGCCTATAAATAAACAACAAAAATGTAAGAATGATTTTAACTTTGTTTATTGTTTTTATTTTGTTTACCTTTTTTAAAAAAAGTTTTTTGTGATGATGCTGAATAATCCGGCTTCATTGAGGTTATGTAACATAACACAGAACATAAGTAACATAACTTACATTATTTATACTCCTTCTTCTGCTTTAAATTAACACACATTAAATTCTTATTCAAAGTTTCTTGGCCTTGTATCATGGCCTTAACGAAAATCAGCGGTTAAACAATTGACATTTAAATGAAAAAAACCAGGAAAGTTTCCAAGGAATGTTTCCAAGGAATGTTTCCGGTAGCTTAAAAGAAACTTTCAAAATGAAAATAAATTCCCAATTGGAAACTTTCCAAAACGGAAAGTTTCCTTAAAATGGAAACTTTCCGATTCCCATCTCTAAAAAATAAATAAATAACATGGGGTTTCGACAAGTTTTACATATTTTTTTTTCTCTGAAGCAAGTTAAAATACAGTGATACACATTTTTATAGGAAATTGAACGCTGTACAAAAAACCTTTCCTATAAATATTTTATAAAATCGTATAAATTTTTGTAGAATTTCACAAAAATAAAAATATTATGTAAAAAGTAATCGTACTAAAATTGAGTAAAACTAATACCATATTCGTTTAACGTAATAAAAAAAATTGAATTTATCTCTTGTCAATAATTTTTACTTATCTCTTTTTAATAATTTTTATTTTTTCAATAATACAATCAAATCTCATATTTTCAAAAATAAACAATTAATTTTCATAAAAATAATTATAATTTTGCAGTCAAAGTAAAAAAATCGAAAAAATTACTTCAAGTTTAACTTTAACCTTAAATAACTTTTAAATCAGTAAATTTATGAAAAAAACATATAAAACAAGAGATTTCGATAAATTCAATTTTTTTTATTACGTTAAACGAATATGGTATTAGTTTTACTCAATTTTAGTACGATTACTTTTTACGTAATATTTTTATTTCTGTGAAATTCTACAAAAATTTATACGATTTTATAAAATATTATACAATAAAAAGTACAGCTAATGACGTAGAAATTCTTTTAACAGTTATTTTTACAAAATAAAATTCGTAGTTATGCATACGTTGTCTTGAGTATGAGAGCAGACATTTCCGCTACACCAATTATCCTTTTCAAATAAGTTAAATGTATTTATCTACTTCTAAATTGACGAGCTGTGACTTTATGGCGCTTTAGTCACGGGCTGAAGTTGGCAATAAGTAGTGGCTTTTGGGAATTTTAGTCACGGGCTGAAATTAGCTTTATTATATATTAGAGAAAAGTAAAGTTAATTCCATTGACATTTGACAGATGTCAAATGTTTAACAAATATAATTGGCTTTAAATTCTTTTTTGTGTTCGTCGTAGATAAAGTATACTTAGTAGGCAACTCGCTTAATAAACTTATCTAGACACTTGTTTTTAATAAGCTTCGCTCGTGCCTAATAAAACTCGTAACTAAAATGGCGTTTTGTAAAATTCACAGAAATAAAAATATTATGTAAAAAAGGTAATCGTTCTAAATTTGAGTAAAACTAGTACCAGATTCCTTTAATGTAATAAACAATTTTTAATTTATCGGAAGTTCTTGTCAATAATTTTCACTTATCTCTTTTCAATAATTTTTACTTTTTCAATAATACATAAAACCACATATTTTCAAAAATTAATAATTTATTTTCATAAAAATAATGATAATTTTGCAGTCAAAGTAAAACAATCGAAAAAATTACTATTAGTTCAATTTTAACCTTAAATAACTTTTAAACCAGTGAATTTATCGAAAAATCATAGGAAAGTTTTTTTGTACAGCGTTCAATTTCCTATAAAAATATGTATCACTTTTTGCTGTATTTTAACTTGCTTCAGAGAAAAAAAATATATGTAAAACTTGCCGAAACCCCATGTTATTTAAACGGAAAATGTATCGTCTTTGTGGCACGGTTTAAAATGAATATTTTTTTTTATAATTTTTTTATAATTCTTTTTAGGTCATAAACTAAAAATTTAGGGGGCACTGCAAACAAAAAAACCAAGTTGGTAAATAACGGACACCCTATTACTTATAGTGTATTTGTACTTTTCATTTGCATTTACCTCCACAATAACTTAACAAAAAACAGTTATGAATTTCATAACAAAACCACAGTAATTTCATTAAATTCCTTTCAAGGTCGCATATAATTGTTCTAAATATACACCAGGGTATATTTCATATCATTTAAAACCTTGCAATAATACAACCTCATAAGCAATAAAATCATTAATAAGTCTGTAACCAGGCAATTTTCTTCATATACGTGACGTTGAGCGAAGGTTTTTTTCCCTGCATGCACCAATATAATTATTAACCGTAATTATTAAGTGCATACTTTAATTCTGACAGTCCGGTTATGTTCGAAACTGACAATTCAACTTTCACTTCTAAAGCCGCAATAATAACGGGGGTCAAGCGAATTTAATCTCAAATAAGTGTATCAACGAGCCTAAAGAAATCACACACAGTTTATGGCTTTAAGAATGATAATTCTACATGGTTTTTCCTATTCTCGAGTATAAATTACAGTCTGTAATACTACTCCCAATCACATGAATATGAATATTGAATAATGATTTCATTATTCACGGAAAAAAGACAATATTATGCAATAGGAGTAGATAAAACAATATTAAAAATATAAAATTCATGTTCTATGAAATTTTCTAATTTTTCAGGAAAATTGATGGTTTCTTAAGTTTTTTAATAAATTTATTAATTAATATTTTTTTTTCAAAAGTAGAAACGGTCAAATCTATTATAATTATTTTGCCGATTACGTAAATATAACTTTGTTTTAGTTGACGCGAACCTACATAGCTTTCTACAGGCGTACAAATAAATTAATTTTATTAAAGTAAGATACGATTAGTAAGTCAAGTAAAAGTAAGATATTTTCTGGAAAATTATTTCCTGATTGTATAAATGAAAAACCGATGCATCGAAATAACTTTATTTGTTTGTGAATAAATGTGTATTGAGAACATTTTTGTGTAAATTTATTTATCTTTATTGCTATTTAAATTTTCTGTTACTATAATAAAACATTTACCATAGGTTTATTAATTTATTAAACTATTTAATTCTGATTTGTAAGTATGTTGCTTCAAGGAGATTGTTAATAGCTATATAGCTAATAGTTGGTTATTAAAATTAGGTCTTGATTTATTTTAAATGAATAAACAATATTCTTTTTTTATTTATAATTTAAACTTTTGCAGTTATTTCCAATTTTAGCATCATTTTTTTTTTAATAATAAATAAAAGAAGAAATCACCTATTGAATACATTTTCTTTAACCAAATTCCCATGAAGGCTAAGGTTAGAAAATCAATGCGTAATAAATTTTCATTTCCTTTTTATTTACAATTATTAGAAAGCCTTATTAAATCGTAATACAATAACTATACAAATTTATTAATTTATTAACTTATTACAACCACTTCTAATTACATCTTTGTTGAACATTAGCTTTGTTAATACGCCATTATTAATAACAATGAAAATAATAATTACTTATGAGAAAAAATTAATTTTTTATGTGTATTAATTATGAGATTAAGATTTAATGAAAAGTTTATTATTCGTCGTTATTATGTGGAAAATATCTGTATGGATGTTTTTTTTAATTTGGGGTTCCCTTTACCAGGTTTTGGAAGCAGATAATGAAGTTGTTCCGAAAGCAACTCCCCCATCTTTCAGACCGACAAGGAGGGCAAAAGCCAAAATCACGACAACCCTAAACGCTGCCAAACGTCAAACTACCTTTGGTAGGTCAAGCAAATTTTCCAGGTCTACCACAACCACCACAACTTCACCACCAATAGGTGAGAAAACAAGGTTTAATGTCTATGACTGTAAATCTTTTTTTTATTCTACTTTATTTAGTTAGTAAAGGAGACCACAGATTCCACTCGAAATACACCACAAAAACCGAGTATTCCGAGAGTAGTACAGTCCAAAACGATAAGTCGGCCTACGTAAAACCTTCCCGAGGCGTGTACAGTAGCAGAAAAAGTAAAGAATCCTTTAGACAAGTCAAATCAGCGAAAATTCCATCTGAACCAATAATACAATCCGCCCAGGTAAGTCTCTAATAAAAGAATGGATTGTATTTAAAAAATCCTGGTTGTATTGTTATAAACATCAGGATGATTTATAAATTTTGTCTATACTATCTATTTTTGAAAAATCAGAAGTAGCTTTTTCCAAATATAAAAAGTAGATGGCATGGAAAAAATGTTTATTCTATCGGAAGGGTTTTACCTTCACAAAGAGGAAGATCATCAATAAAAAAAATTTAAAATCGTTTTTGGAGTCCTTGTACCTGTTTTGTTAATGAAAAATTTAAATTACTTTAAAATAATACATTTTATCAATAATTATCTTTGTTTATAAGGGATAATTATCAGGGTGAACATTTTATCTATACTTTCTCTTTTTGAAAAATCAGGAGTAGCTTTTTTAAATTTACAAAGTAGATACCATAGTTGAAATCTATGGTCTATTGAAAGGGTTTTACTTTCCCAAAGAGGAAGACCACCAATAAAATATTTAAAAAAATGTAAAATGTAAATTACTTTGAAATATTACATTTTAATTATGTTAATTATCAAGTCTTTTTCAAATCTTTTTTTGAAAAATCAGGATTAGCTTTTTCCAAATTTACAAAGTAGATACCATAGTTAAAATCTATGGTCTATTGAAAGGGTTTTACCTTCCAAAGAGGAAGACCACCAATAAAATGTTAAAAAATCGTTTTTAGAGTTTCTGTACCCATTTTGCTGATGACAAATTTGATAAAATGTAAATTACTTTGAAACATTACATTTTATTTATAATTCTCTTTATTTTAAAGCAAAATTATCAGGATGAAGCATACATTTTGTCTATCTTTTTTGAAAAATTAGGAGTAGCTTTTTCCAAATATTCAAAGTAGATACCATAGTTGAAATCTATGGTCTATTAGAGGGATTTTACCCTTCCAAAGAGGAATACCATCAATAACATATTAAAAAATCGTTTTTAGACTTCTTGTTCCCATTTTGTTAATGGGAAATTTAATAAAATGTAAATTTCTTTAAAATATGACAATTTATTTATGATTCTCTTTATTTTAAAGCAAAATTATCAACATGACGCATACATTTTGTCTATACTATCTTTTTTGAAAAATTAGGAGTAGCTTTTTTCAAATATTCAAAGTAGATACCATAGTTGCCAAAGAGGAATAATATTAATAAAATATTTAAAAAATCATTTTTGGAGTTCCTGTTCTAATTTTGTTAATAAAAAATAAAAATAAAAATTTGAATTGAAATCAAAATGAAATGGGTTTTAAGGTAAAATCATCATTTTGTATATACTATCTTTTTTGAAAAATCAGGAGTAGCTTCTTCATATTTTACAAATTAGATGGCATAGATAAAATCGATTTTACTTTCCCAGAGAGGAAGACCATCAATAAAATAGTAGATAGTATTTAAAAAATCATTTTTGGATAGATTGTAAGGTATATATACTTTTCATTTTAAATTGCCCAGTTGAAACAGTTTTTGAAACAATTTTTTTATGGGAAACGATGAGACAATAATATTTTTTTTTGATCAATTTTTTTAATTTATTTCTCAATACTATTCTATCTTATAGGTAGTAGTGTCTATCTATTTAGCTTATCCTGTGGAAGTGAAATGTATATGTAGTGTCACAGTAATTTAAATAATTTCTTTTTGTATTGTATAACTTAATTGCGGATAATAGATCATGTAATAATTGAAAATTGCATTAATTGCCCGAGCGGAAATGTTATATCAAAAAGTAAAAACGAACAGGTTTAAATTTATTAATATGAATATGAAACATATTTTGTAACAAATCATTACAATAATCACAAACAACTTCAGAAACCGCGTCCATCTCATTTTTAGATCACTCGTGGCAATACTTTGGCCAAAAAATCGAGTAGGTTCAGTTCCAAGTATCGCGGCGACACCTCTGGCCGAGGTTCCGTACTGCACACCAGATCAACAACGAGTGCGCCAGCGTACATTCCCACGATTCCCACCGCCGCCTATGTTCCAACTATACCGACGTTGAACCCACCTTCGACTGTAAGTACATGTTTTCGTTCGTAGATGGGGCGATTTATGCCAAAGTTGGTCTGTAAGGAAAAAATAAACCTCAAACATTTAAAACCTAATGGTGTGTAAACACAATTTGATTTAAGACAACTTGACATAAATTGTTCAAGATGCCAACCACATAATAAAACTTGGTTGGCGCATAACAAACTAAACAAATGAAATAGTACGCCATAACTTAATCTAAAACTTGCTAGTAGTTTTGTTATTGTTTAATATGATTTGTCTGCTTAAGGAAAATGTTTGGCCAGATGACAGGAATACTCCAGAATACTCCTGGTATTTTACTAGATTTTATTGAAGAGCTTAGATTACCACCACATTTCTATCACACATCTGTCTTCTATTCTTCACTTCTCTTCTGAAACACAGTGTATCAAGTAAATAATTAAAAAAAAAACATAAAACATAACGAAAAATATACAATAAATAATTAACAAGTTATTGTAAAATTTATTTGATTCTTTACGAAGAATTAACTGTATGTATTTTGAAGAATCCAAAATAACTGTTTCGTAAATATAAATAAATTTATAGTTCGGCTCGATTATATCCGACCCCACTCGAGCATCATTACTAATAACCGAACGCATCTGATATTGTAATATTTCGGAAAAGATATTAATTGGAATTAGTATTACCAAATTATTTTTTATTTTGGATTTTACTTATATATATATATATATATATACATACTATTCTTTTTTCTTTTACTTCTGATATCGAAAAGTTGGTTACTGGGCATCTTAAAAGAAACCTATCTACATATCAGCATCGCAATGGTCTATGAAAAAAAAATTATATCTCACTAACAAACTAATATAAAGCTTATCCCAATACATATTTTGAGAGTTAATTAAACGCTTTACAAAAAAGGTATTTTATATGTTTTTGCAAACATATCCATTCAAAAGATATCTTAGGTAAAAGTTTAAAAAGTTTGGAGAATAGTTCAAATATTGGAAATTAACTGATTCACAAAAAGTTTTCTTTAGTTTTTTCGAAAATAATCGCGCGCGCGTATTTCCCGTATGGTCTAGTGGTTAGGATAACCAGCTTTTAATACGACAAGAGTCAAATGGAAAATGCAATGAGGTGCCCATCAACTAATTTTTCGATATCAGATGTCAAAAAAATCACCCTTATACAAATCTATTTTACATTTGGTGTAGGGACTGTTTTTGTACAAATATTTATACTTATTGTGGCTTTTTTCAAATGTTGTTTAAATAAATGATGTAAAAATTTGGCTGTAGATAAACTATTTATTGGGCCAGAAGTATAAATATAACTAGAGAATATATTTTTATAATAAATTTTAGCATTAAGTAAAGGTGTACTATTTTATTTTTATACACAAAACACAATAAACGCAAATAGAAGTTTGGATTTTTATTTATTTTCTCTGTAAATTGATGTATATATCATTTTGCACGTTGAGAACGTACTAATCAGTAGTTTGCACTTAATATACTAGAAAGCACTTAGAAGCATTATTTATTTATTTATTATAATTTGGTGATTGTTAAAAAAATAATTCAAATCAGCCATTAGGAAGCCACCATCTAGTTTTTTCATCGCTTTTTTGATATAAAAATTTTCAAAATTGTTTGAACAAAAATTTACAGGGAAAATGGAGGAAGGGGCATTTGGACAAAGACTTGGGACTCGAGGTTTTAACCATCGATGATCCTGTTTTTACAGTTCCATCCGCAAACTTAGTCAACGAAGATTTCGTATCCTCCACCTCTAATTCCCTGGTAACTACAACTAAATTTAACATAAAAATTACGCTCGCCCACAAAATCAAAAAGTTCGTGCCTGCTGTTTTTGATAAAAAGTAGTCCTCGATCACATTTTAGCTGCATAAAATTGCTCCATAAGTGAATGAAAATATACTGCCTTCAGTTTTTCTAAATGGGCTTCATGTACCGCCTTCAGCATATATTCTTTATCGTATCGTCTTATAATATTTTTCTTCGATATTGCTTCACTCAATAGTCAATCAGGCCCCAAAATACTTCACAGATCCAGAGCTCTTATTGCAATATTGAAAAATAAAACCGTCTTGACCAAAGTATACCAAGGTCTAGTTCTTCAATTCATTCCAAAGTACCTACCAACAGATTTTTACACTAATAGGGCCATTTTATGAAGCTAAAATCGTGGAAACTTTCATCGCGTATTAGCAATCTAGGATTACTTAAAACCTACTTTTCATAAAAATAGCGAATTTTGTGTGGGCCAGTGTCATTGTTTATTATTATTATTATTTTCCGAAGGTGACGTCCGAGAAGTCAGTGTCCATAATAGAGAGCGTAATAAACGCCATTAAGGCGATTTCGACGACCGCCTCCCCGGATTCAACGTCTCTGTTAACGACCGCGCAAAGCGAACCCGGTTCGGCCATACAGAAATTGGCGCCGAAAAAACTCAACGACAAGACAAACGACTCGACAGACAATAGCGTGACGACCGAAAAACCAACGACAATAATCGAGCGCATTTTGAGTTCGATTAATGCGATCGAAGCCGACGACACGAACTCGAACAAAGTAGGTACCGATGATTATAACACTGTAAGCTTTCCAAGTACCACACCCATGTCCAGAGTAGCTAAATCCACTAGTAGTAGCGACCTATCTGCACAATCTAGCACCATAAACCCCTTAAGTGTTCTAGACGGGATTTCCGAAGACACCGTTCTACAAAAACGCACCATCGGCAAGTTGTTGTCACTCTTGAACAGTTACACCTCACCCCGATCCAATTTGGTTCATGTCACACCCAAAGTTTATCCGCCTGTTTCTTACTCTGCCTCCCCGGCACCACTTTCTCTCTTGAATCTAGACAGTACGACCGTAACTGACAATGACATTAGCAAAGATACTAGTACCACCACTACCACTGATTCTCCTACAGTAACAGCTACTGTAGTTGAAGTTGGTACTAGTACCGAACCACCATCCACCACCACATCATCATCAACTAGTACGGATATTTCCTCGACGGAAACTATTCCTCCTAGCACCGATATTACAACAGATTCATCTCGCACCACACAAGATACTTCCAACGATTTAAACGTCCTAAACTTGTTCGTTGCCCCTGGAGCCACAGTTTCATTGGCCGAAGGAACCACCACTCCAGAAACTACAGTTACTGATAGTACCGAAACAATATACACAGTCGCACCTACACTTTCAACTCTATCGAACTTCGAAGTAAGTCCTCAAAGCGTTTCTGTTTTCTCCGCTAACGATCTTTCTAATACCATAACAACCGACGATAGCGTATTTAGTACTGTTACGATCTCCGCCAGAGGAAATTTCGAGACCGTCACTACAGAAAGCTCCACTACAGAAAGTACTACTACGATGGATAGTACTAGTACGGAAAAGAGTAGTACTGTAGAATCTAATACTAGTTCTAATACTGTGGCTAATCCAACTGATGTTTCTAACGTAACCGATTCTTCTCCTAAAAATGCTAACCGCGGCGGGCGTTTGCTGAACGTAGAGCAAGATCCGGTCGATAACTCCTTAGATAGTAACACCTCTTCTTCAACTCCCGACTACTTCATTTTCGCCGTGCTGAATAACAATACCATCCTTCGCAAAAGCCCGACGACTTTCCCGACCCAGGGAACCCCGTACATCGTAGTCGGCGTATATCCTAACAATACCATTGTAAAGAAGTTCCCCAATGGTACGGTCGTACCGATGGAACCTATAATCAGGGTAAGCGGTTTCGATACTCGCGCGAACCCACCGCCCCTACCAGACATAACTAGTAACCAAGTAACAAGTAATGAACCTGGAAGCCCTCCGACGGATAACACAAACTCAACAACGGTATTCATTGTTATTAACTCTTTTGGTTTGTGTATAGGCGATCTTACCCCAACAACAAGGTGGTTTTATAGCAATTGTACCTTTAAACATCAAAAAGGCTAACTTTGAGATTTGAAAGCAGACTTTCCAGGTCAGGTTTAGCAAAAAACTTAATTAAACAATCAAAAGCATTATGAAGCAATTTTGGAAAAGAGCAAAAGTGTAAAAAAATACCAATAATTTTGGTATTACAAGACTAAAATCCTGAAACTTGTTATTGGAGTAAGATCGTCCCCCCTAGATGTTGCTTTAGGCTTTCATTATTGACGTCACCAAATTTTGTTTTCGTTATTTTCTTGTTTATTGCACGTTTTCACACATTGCACATCCCGTATATAATTAATGGTATTTGTAAATAACTGACTTATCGGTCAGTGGTCTATAATATGCATGGATTTAGTTGCTTTCTCACATCCCTATAGCTGTTTTTGAAAAATTTGGTGACAATAAAAAATTGACTATATTAAAATGTCAATTTTTTAAATTATTTTAATCTCATGTGCTTTTAACACTTATCAACAAGCAATGGCTAAGTCAATGTTGTTTCTTTTGTGCCTAACAAAACTTGTATGTTTTCTTATAGGTTGACTCTAACGAAAACACGGTACCATCTGCTGATCTCATTGGTTCTAGTAAAACCACCACCACCACCGAAAATACCCCCACTACTGTCAGTAGTACTAGTACTACGGAAAGTACGACCCCTATTTATAAAACTACTACTACCTCTATACCAGTTGGTAACATTGACGAAATACTAAGCATATCACGAAATAAAGACGATATTATTAGTAGTAGTAGTAGTACCGAAAAACCCGAACTGTCCAACGAAATCAACGATTTAAATCGCATTGGTAGAGTTCTAAACCCAAGTACGACCACGATAGCAAGTACCACTTTAGCAGACTTAGGCTTAAGTACAGTCAAGTTTACTACTCCTATCCCTACCTTCTCAACTCTGTCCGAATTATTGAATGGACGCACTGTAGATGCCCTTAACGATATCATTACCAAATCGAAACCAAATTATGAAACCCTGGCGGTTAATCAGGTAAGAATGACCAATATGCTTGGTAATGGTCATGGTACATCATTCCATCACTCAAAAACATCAAATATACATTTTTAAATGACCCAGAAATACTTTGATGCAAACCAAACACCATAATACTGTTTTTATCTACTTTACGCACATACTTTTCTATTTATTCTCTTTCTCACTCTATTTTTCTTTTTACTTTGATAGTGGAACGAAGTGTTAAACATACAAGACCTATTAAACCGAAATAAACAAAATGATGTCACCTACCGGTGGAAACCCGTAACAAGACCTTACGATAAAGACCAGGCAAGATCTTGCTTATTTTTTATGACATAAAACGACTAATAAGTAACGTAGCAATAGTAAATATGTAAAAAGTCACACAGAACAGTTTTCTTTGGACCCTTCCCATTTTAAAAGCATGTTAAGTCCTTGTAGACTCATAATATTGTAGCTAACTAAATAAAATTTTATTAGAGAAAGTAGAGAAGTAGTACTGGACAACAGACAAAATTGCGGTACATCACAAATAATTTTTTTTCTTATTTTTTTCTCTTCAAGAAAACGTTAGTTGATCATCAAAACGATGAACCAAATTGATCTTGAAAAGGAGAAGTTTTAGAAGGTGTGGCAAGTTTTGTGGTGAAAACATATATTGTATTGAAATAGTCATTTTTTACACTTTTCGATAACCCGACATACCTCAAAATTGCTGTTGTCCGGAGTAGTTTAGTACCTTTATATCACACATATGTAGTCATATCATTCACCTAGCTGTAAATAAAAGAAACAATCCTAAGACAAAATATATTTCAGGATTCATCCACATCTACAATTGCTCCATTCACTTCGAGCCAATCAACCGACACAGCAACGGTACATTTTCTTTACTTTTGCTATTAATAAAACTTGAAAAAACAATTATTATACTCTTTATACATTTTAGGAAACTCCTTCAACATTAAACCCTCTATCAGAAACAATACCACCTCAAACCACCACTGCAGCTCAAACAACAGAATCTATAAAAGTTACCACAACAACATTTAAAAATGTCGTACCTGCTGTAACCACAGCCTTGCCTTCTATAACAACTTTCTTCCCTCAATTGTTCAATACAATTTTATCCACTTTGCAGCCAATAACAACAACTTACGCATCACCAACGACAGTGAGAACTCAGCGTGGTAGCACCGACCAATCACTCGCTGCTACCACAGTGGTGCCAACCACAGTTTCTCCGTACACTAGCAGAGGAAGAATCGCTTTCTCTGATACTATAACTACAGACACACCTATCGTGACAACGCGTAAAAGAATCACCACAACAACTGAAATCCCGACAACTCGTAGGAGAATCACTACAACAACTGAAATCCCAACAACTCGTAGGAGAATCACTACAACAACTGAAATTCCAACATTTACTACAACAACAAGAGAGCCCGAAACCACTACTATGAGATTTAGAACTACCACAGAACGACAGGTTAGGTTGTACACCACTGAACCTGTTACTAGTACAGAGACAACTACAAAGAAGTTACGGGAGTTGACCGAGGAACAAAAAATGAATTTGGCTACGTTAGCTCAGTTGGAAAAGGAACAGGCTGATTTGTTGGCGCAGTTATCTCTGCTCACTGGACTGCCTAATGGTAGAAAACCAGCTGCTAACAACGCCAACTTGGCCAATAGGGTATGATTGTCGTTAGTTGATCGAAAATATTTACCTCTTTGGTTTATTTTTTAGATTATTGCAATGGCGATGGATAGGGATAGAGCAAAATCAACCACTGCAAGCTCTGTTGAATCATCTTTCGGTACTACATTGCAAGGAGGGAATAAGGAGCCGTCTTTGGAGGAGGTTTTGAAACAATACAACATCAAGGGTGTCCAGCAAGTGGCAGCATCTCCAAAACCTGCAGTTTCATCGACTTATGGCACCTCCAATGACGCTCTAATTGCCTCATTATTGAAAGAGCAAGGAATCGGACCTACCACCCCAAGTTCTCTGAACGTGAGTAACAAAACCTTTAACCACAAGCAATTCCAATTGAATCAAATTAAACACCATATACATTACAAACTCTTAAAACCACAAAACAATACAACACAGCCAAAACAAATCCGATTTCACTGTTTTCTTGATTTTTATAGCACTTTTACGAGTTTGAAGAGTTCGAGGATAATGAACTCCAACCGGTAAGCTCATAGCTACTAAAGCTTTGAAATGTGCATGTGTATGCAATTTTTTTTGGTTTGTTTTTTGGTTTTTGGAGTTTTAATACAAATTGCAATATAAGGTTTTGGTTGGTCTAACTTGGCTTGGTAAAACAATAATCCAATACCTATTTGTGGTAAGTTATTTTAAACGAAAGTGTACTATTTCGTACATTTTCCAGGGTGTATTTACCACCACCAGACGTCCAAGGCCTCAAACCAGACCTCCAGGTCGTCTTATGCAAGGTTTGAACTGGCTATTGGACGTTCTTTCCCCCCAACCCCAACCGCAACCTCAACCTAGACCAAGACCGAGAGCAACCACTAGAAGACCAATATCCGAAGAAATTTTGACCAACCAACCGACGCACATCACCCCCGTGGTGACGAGAGCGCCCCCGAAAACCAGGTTGGGCCCCAACGAGCTCTCGCAAGAAGACATCCAAAAGTTGATTAGTCAACTGGAAACGCTGCAAAAGAATCCCCGGGACGGTAAAGCGTTGGACTTGAGTCAAATCAAGAGCTTGAACGCCTTGATCAACACCAACGAAGGGGTTAGGGTGACCTCGTCCGGTGAAATCGGCACCACGAGACCCTCCAGGTCGCAGATGACGACCTTCATGCCCATCACCACCAATCACATTGAACAGGAGGAGACCTACATCCCCACTTCTTCGTACAGACCTTCGACTGTCTCCCTGCCGGCGGTGAGGTTGAGGCCTGTACCGGGAGTGGACGACAACAACTCAGACCCTCTGATCAGAGGCAACTTGATTTCTGCGGCGGTTAACGTTACCAGGGCCATATCGAGCTTCCTGGGTTCGGCCCTGCAGGTAAATAGTTTTTAGAGTTAGTCGAATTTTTTTTTATTCCAGCGTTGTATTACAATATGTTTTAACGTTTTTTCAGGATGCTATCCACCAATTAAAACAAATGCATTATGGCAATCCCGATATTTCTAACCTATTCCAAAACATCACCGAGAGCCAAATAAATTCAACTATAGTTTGAAAAATTGGTAAAAATTATTGAACAAAATTATGTGCATTGATCTATTCGGCTTGTGAATGTTCTTTACAATGCTTTAACAAAACTGACCGAAAAATAATTTCGTGACTAAAAAGACAAGTTGACAAAGACGGTTTTCACGTTTTACGTCTACAATTTACACATTACAAGAGTATAATTATACTGATTATGAAGGTGATAACGCACTAGTGTCTTATACATCCATAAGACACCTTATTGGCGTAGTCAGATTCAACAATTCCCTTACCAATACTAGTTTCCTCAGCAGCACTTACAGTCTTGACAAATTGCATAGATCTTCTCTATTAAAAAACTTGCACTTTGGATAGTTGTGTGATATCCATTTTACTTGCCACCAAGTCCTCTGCTCAAACCATTCCCAAAGTAAGATTCAGCATTAGATAGCTGGTTTTGATGGAATTTTTGACAAAGTGTTGATACCAACAGGTTTCACATTGCATTTTCCATTTCCACATACTATAGAACGTTTTTTCGGTTTGTGGTTTCGAGAAGTACTTTTCAAAAAGAGGTCAGCTATCAAAATTTCGAAACTTCGAAGCTCTCATGTACTTATCTCGTGCATCGTATATTGTTTACAATGAGGATGATGCAAATGTTTTCTTTATATTTGGGAAATCCTACGTTATTGCTTCCAAATTTGACATTTGAAGTTTTCGATTGCAAGCTTTGACTTCCTTAGTAGCAAGGCTTCTTTGGTTATGTAAAGGAATATAATCTTTTTCGGCTTCCTTCAACTTGCCACTGTTTTTTAAAAAAGTGTATTACAATTTTGTGTTAGTGATCTGCATAATTATGCCCTTGGTGATATGTGAACTGTGGGTAAAACGTTGTATTGCTCTTAATAAAATTTAATAACCATAACAATACTTATCGATTAATTTGATTACATAATTGTTTAACGAATTACTTACCAAGACGAACATATGGAAAGACAAAGTAATTTTTACCAAGTTTATACAATGTATACCCAAATAAATACCTACCATTACACAGGACCAACAGAATGAACTTTTTGCCTTTTTAAGAAGAACATATTTTTTTAATGGGGAAGAATACAAAGCTTACCACCAAACCGTCCTTAGTACAAAATGCCAATTAATCAAAAGTAATCACCCGATTCCCAAGGCTATAACTTTTTCTAAGTGAAAAAAATCCATTTTTTTGTGAATACTGTTTATTTGGTCCTGATCGAGAAAATAATATCAACAAAGTTGCAACACTCTTCTCAATACTTCTTCAATGTTCTCTTTTAGGACTGCCAAGGTGTTTGGCTTGTTTACATGAACGCGAGAGTTCTAATTGGAAGTCTCAAGTTTATGTGAACAAGAACAGACCTTGGCAGAGAACATTGAAGAAGAAATTGCAAATCTATCGCCTAAGAAAATCGGGTAATTTCTTTTGCGCCAAATTGTACCAAGATAAGTTTGCTCAGAGTATGTTGGTCTAAGAAATATGTAGACCTCTTATTAAAAAGGCAAATTGGTTGCTTTTTCCTCTCAACATATGCATAATACATATTAAGTCAAAACTTTTGACCATTGAGGATTGCTTAAGCTCATCATCATAATCTATTTTATCTCTACTATTTTTTATACTTCTTTCCTGTACTGAACTTCTTTTCTATCCTTTTCTCAAATTAATCCTTCTTTTGTTTCCTCTAGACTTCTACTTTCCATACCAACTTTTTTATATTCTGGATGAGTTATTATTATGTATGGCTCATTTAATCATTTGATCATATTTCAGCTAATTTTTTAAGAACCATCTTCCAACCTAATACTTAAAACGGATTGGCTTTAACACTTTCTAAATATTTTCTCGAATATTTTTAAATTTTTAGGGTGCAGCGCATTCCTTTCAATCCCTAATCACGAACGGATCGAGAATGGTGGGAGGTTTAGCCCAGGGATCCAGCGCTAGACCAGCCTTTTAAACTTTTTAAAAAATAGAAATTTTAATTTATTGAATTCCTACGTATTCTGAAATTCAGATCCACCATAGTCAAGTGTACTTTTTGAGAATACGACTTGTCGATAATTTTGCAACTTGTGCCTTTTAAAAGTACACTTCACCACTTAGACTTATTTTTTAATATTCTAGATTTGTGTAGTCGTTTTTATACCATATTTAAATAATTTTAATTTAGGTAGGTGTTTTCTTTTTTCCTTCTAAAATTCATGTGATAATATTAATTTCCTATTAAATTTTATCATAATCGAGGACTTTTTATAAATAATTTACGCTTTTGTATATAGTAATGTATATTGTAAATTATTATTGTTATATTTGTACTATAACGTGAGGTTTTAGTTATTATTGTAATGTAAATAATAAATTAATAAATAAGCTAAACCTTTCTTTTCATTTTCCTTAGAAAAACTAGGTAAGTTAAAAAACACAACTTTTCAGGACAGCTCTTATACGGGATAATGCGCATAACCTCGTGTGAAATACTTTACTTTATGTACTCCAATAAAGATAATTAAATGATTTTCAAAAATAAATAAATAAAATCTGACATCTGTCAAATGGTAACCTCACTTTTTACCAATTTTAAAGGTTATTATAGTCGCCTTCTCCCAATAACACCAGATTGGTTCAAATCACAGTGTGTATTGAAAAAAAAAACAATGGTATGCCATAGGGGTAGATAATAGTATATTATGTATCAAGTTTGATAAACGCCATTTCAGAAAAGTTTATAAACGAGGTGCATACTATACTTTTTCTACAACAAATACTATCTTAAAATGATTTAAATCAAAAATTTGTATAGAGCGCCATCTATGAAACAATAGGGGAATCTGTGTGTCACCGTCAAATGTCAAATTTTTATATAAGTATTATAAACACAGATTATAAAGGTTATAAATCAAAATGTATTTCTTGAAAATGGACAGTTTTTTACAGTGAAAGTAAAGAAAATGTTTTATGAGCACTTTACAGTGGAGTCCGTGCCCGAATTTAAGTTATAGTTTACTGCCGGCGAAATTAAAAGGTCAGTCAATGTTCATATAAACTTTTCAAATATTGGCGTTGAGAAACTATTTAATATTTTTGTATTTTTGTATTGAGATAATAAAATAATTTTCACATATGGTATTATTTTACAAGAAAGGCACTTTATTTTAACGATTGTATGACATTTGACAACTGTCAACTGACTTAAAACTAACTTCAGCCCGTGACTAAAAACCTGTTGCTAACTTCAGCCCGTGACTAAAGCGCCATAAAGCCACAACTTGTCAATGTGTATTTAAAAGGTCACGAAAACATGTACGATAAAGGGCGTTTTAAAGGTGGGAGTAGAAAAAGATTATTATAGTCGCCTTCTCCCAATAAAACCCGATTGGTTTAAATCACAGTGTGTATTAAAAAAAAACAATGTTATGCAATAGGATCCTATGTATTTAGTTTATTATTAAATATTTTTATCTACTCCTAGGAGTAGATAGAGATAGATTTAATAATAAACTAAATGCATATGTATGTATTTGGGTTTATTGTAATTAAACAAAGTAATAAACATTTAAAGGTGTGCCACACATAAAAAGTACAGTATTATTTCCAGGCATACTTGATTTAAAAAAAATGCAAATCATTTTTACAGCATCAACCATAAATAGGGAATTTCTTTGGATTAGATCCCGCTCACGTTTTAAAAAAGATTTCATGATTTATATCGTTTGGGTTTTTCCTGGTAAAATAATAATATTTATGTACTTATTTAAATGCAGTACTTATTTCAATGCATTATGCACATATGCATTTGTTACGTATACCTTTGCTTTTTAGATTAAATGTTTAAAAATAAGTTTTTATAAAAACAATAACAATTTATTTTGTGTGAAGAACAGTAAGGTAAGTTTTTGACAACCTACAAAGTTTTAAGGTACATACAAAAAATACTATCGGCGGTCGGCTTGATCTAAAATTAGTTTTCACCAAGTGAAAAGAGTCAACTAACGGACAGGGTGTATTATTTTAATGGGTATGTTAATCTAGTTATGCCCTAAAGCGTTTAAAATAAGCACTATAATACGAGGTGTGTTCAGAAAATGACGGGAATTATTAAATTTCGCGGGTTCAGAGGGTCCGGTTGTCATAAAATTTTCTTTATTATGTTGGTATACATTATTATTATTATTATTATTATTATTTTTAATGTGCCTTCAACAGGCACCAGGCCCAATTGCCCATGCCCCCGAAGTATGATAAAAACTTTAGCTGTTACTTTGCCTGTGACAGCCGCTAAGGTTACACGTGTTTTATGAGCTCGGCGATTTTTCGTTCGTTAAAAGAAATGGATGAAAGAATTTGTATCCAATTTTGCTTAAAAAATGAAATAAATTCTGTGAAATATTAACAAAGGCCTATATTGAATCTGCTATAAGTAAAACAAGAGTTTACAAGTGGTATAAGAGTTTCCAAGATGGCCGTGAAGACGTTGAAGATGACGAACGCCCCGAACGCACAAGCACATTAACAACCGATAAAAACATGTAAAAAGTGGAAGAAATGGTTATAAACCATCAGAGAAGTCGCTGATGATGTTGGTATATCGATTGGCTCATCCCATGAAATTTTTTCGAATGTTTTGGGTATGAAACGCGTGGCAGCAAAATTTGTTCTAAAATTGTTAAATTTTAAACAACATTTTTGGCCAAAAACAATACTGTAATGATGTCCCAGCCTCCATATTCGCCAGACATGCATCTGTCTGACTTTTTCCTATTCCCAAAGATAAAGAGAACCTTAAAGGGCCGTCGTTTTGCAAGCATAGATGACATTAAAAGCGCTTCGCTGAAAGAACTAAAGGTTTTTTTTTTTGTATCCCTAAGATCGAGTTTTAGAAGTGTTTCGAGTATTGGAAGAAGAGCTGGCACATGTGCATAATATCCAATGGGGGCTATTTTGAAGGCGACAACATTAATGTAGACGAATAAATAAATATTTGTTTCAAAAAACGAAAATTCCCGATATTTTCTGAACACACTCGTATTTAACAAAACTAAAGAATTTCCGGTGTTGGTATGTGGTTTCCAGGAAATTTTAACTAATTTTATATTTGCAAATATTATTATTCAACGAATTAATTTTTGGAAGATTAGCTGCATTCGAAAAACATGAAAAAACTTTAAAAAATTAATAGTTTATTATTTTAAGTTAGTTGGTATTTTATTGGTATTATTTAAAAAAAATGTAGTAATAACAATACCATAATAACCTCCTTATTTTGCAATTGGAAAAACACAAATTCCCAACTTCCATTACATCATTTACCTAAACAGCCCAGTGGCGGCTCTTCAGGGTAGGCCTCAAAATGTAGGAATGAAGTTCATTCAATGAACCACCTTTTGTATTTAGGTTTAGTTTTAAATGAAGAAGAAAGTAAACTGAAAAATGACTAAAAGAGGCAGGGTTAGCAATATTCACGAACTTTTCAAATATCTTGTTAGAAAACCTTTAAGTGGCTATGCGAAAGTATTAATAAACAATGCTTATTCTGTTGGCATTGTATTTCATTAGGCCACGTCAAAAACAATTAAAGTTCAGAGGGTTTTATGTATATAAACTTTTATCCATGCATATAAATATATTTTTAAGTTCCCGATGTATATTTTAAACTTTAAAAAAATCGAAATTTTGTTCACATTCACGAGCCTCCACTGAAGCAAACAGTAAATATACCTATGGCCTACGCCACTGATCGAAAAATACAATCTTAAAACTTAACAGCTAAATAAACGATCCAAGATAGCCGTGGTGGGCACCAGTGTGCTGTCTTTCACTTGCTTCTTGTCGAATGTAACCGTGAAGTAGGCCGTGACTTTACCAAGCCAACTGCAAACATTTAGTTCTGAGCAATCGCAGAGTGCGCATCTCCACGTTAGCCGCCCATGATTTGAAACTTAATTTTTGGGAATTTTTTTGATGTGTGTTTTTCAATTTTATTCGGCATTTTTTTATTCGTGATAAGAATAATTTACAAAGTGGTTTAGTGCGGTTTTTGTACTTTTGAAATGGTTTTGCTCATAAGGAATACACACATGGATGACACGGTGAGCTGCTTTAACCTGTTTGTTATAAACTTTTTATGATTTAAACAAATTAGAAGGATTTAAATTTTAAAATGCAGATTTAAAAGTTATACAAATATTTTATTTTATTGAAATATTTTGATAAACATTTTTCATATCTGACATGGGTCTTAAAAAGTTTATCAATGTTTATATGTATTGTAAGCTCGACTAAAATTTGGTAAAAAACTTAAATTTATGTAAATCTTATCTTAAAACTTTCACAATAATGGTTTATTAGCAAGCAATGGCGATAAGTATTGTTTAACATTACATATACATTTTTCAAAATTTCGTAAATTATCAACCATTATTATTGTAACAAATTGAATTATAGATTAATGAGTAATGTGCGTTTATGTAATAAAATTCCTTAGGGTTATCTTTATTTGTTATTAATTGTAATTAAAATTCCAAATATTGCATTTAACCATTTTAACTACCTTTGTAAATGACTCACCCAATTAAGGTAAATAATTATACCTATCAATAATTGATTTCCCTACATATTTTCAATTAGTTCGCCGATACCTTTCATTGATGATCAAGTTCATGGAAATTTGTATTAATAGTTTTCCCAGATTTGTTTCTGCCAAATAAAATGTTCGTGTTGGGTTAACAAATTTATTTCAGTAAGTTTTTACACTGATTTTATTTTTTCTAAAATAAAAAATGTGTTATAGCTGTGACTTTATGGCATTTTAGTCACAGGCTGAAGTTATCAACAGTGTTTTTTTATTTTTAGTCACGGGCTGAAGTTGGCTTCATTATAAATTGGGAAAAAGTGAGGTTAAATTCGGGTGACAGTTAACAGATGACAAATTTGTATCAAATAAAATCTGTTTTGTGTTCGTCGTAGATAAAATATAGTATGCAACTCGTTTTTATTAAACACTCGCTCGCAAGCTTCGCTCGGGCTTAGTTAAACTCGTTGTTTTATAGCATACCTACCTACTCCATATTTTAATTAGCTTGTTTAGTTTTTTCGTGTATTTTAAAGATATGTTTTTAGATTTTAATTGGTGTCGTATGTATGGCATTGTATGCCATACTAGAACCCCAATTTTTTTTATGTTATTGTATTTTTGTAAAAAAATGTATTACAGAAAGTCGATGACAATTAAAATTGTAGTCTGAATACAAAATAAAAAAATATATTTTATAAAATATTATAAAAAAAATAGGTTCCTAAATTGATAAAGAAAAATTTGTCGTGAGGCGGCAATTTTAAGACACTCTTAAGAGTTATATGGATAATTGTTACAAAAATATTTAAGACAATCATTTAACAAAAATGATTTCTTGTGACTCATACTTTTACTACAAATTTGTAAATTGACAACATACATTAAACAATTTACAAGTTGTAAATTTTCGATTTTTTTTTGTGTGTTCAATAATACACATAACTATTACTAATAGTTTATTAGCATTAGTCATTCATATTGTAATTGTAAATAGTGAAATAATAATTAAAGTGGACAAAAAATATAACCTTAGGTACCCAATTAAAAATTAAAAACGTATATTAAAAAACACCTGTTACGAAAATTTGATTCTAGGAATAAAATTTTGCGTTTTAAGATTTTTTATCGGAAATATGATTTACAAATATTGAAATCAAGATATCCTCAAAATAAACATGCGTTACCGAAATGACCATCCAAATGTTATATAAACCAACTTTCTCGCTAAATTTCTTGGAATGTCGATGACGTCTTCGGTTTCAATCCAGTGACTGCTGAAGGTTTTTCAAGAACGAATTTCAGTGTTTAATTCGAGGAAATAAATTTAATGGTGGTAATCTCGCGAAATTAAGCTGCGTAAATGAAACAGTAGAAAGTTACAATACTTCGATTTGTTGTTGCAATGTTTTGCTCAACATTGCGTGGACAGGTATTGTTGTTAAGAAATGTACAGAACGAATTAAAACGTTTCTAAATACCTATGATAATTAAAGTCGATAATAAATGTTTGCTATTCAAATGAACCGCCGGAATTTTGAACCTTGATTAAAATAGTCATTTTTTGCTTTTTTTAAGACTTTTTTTAAAAAATTTTTTATTATTAATATTGTGTCCAAGATCTCGACGGAGATTTTCTGTTATATCGTAACAGCAGAAATACTTTTTAATGTATACGTTAGATAAAATATGCCTGCTATAAAATATTACGGCACGTTCACTTTTAATTTATCTAATGGTTTTTGAATAAGCCACGAGGAGTGAACAGGCAGCGTGAAATCTTGTTTGCCGATTCAAGGATACCAACTTGGTTTTTCCAACTGTGTGGTACACGTAACGCTCCACAGTGAATGGAATGTCGACAAATTTTGCGCAAAAAAAGGATCGGCCAGCCACAAAATGTTGTTTTATTTTCGCTCACTACTGAAATGTCGATTATCTCGTAAAATATTGCTTTTATGTAAATTTTGGTCATAATAAAATTTGTTCCTCGCGTCAATCTACAGAAAAATGGTTATATGTAAAATTTTCCTATGATTAATATTTCTCGAGATATAAGGCCAAGAGAAGGTGGTGCAAGATCGCTAATATCAGTTTTTCTTAATTATCTCCTAAACTATTGGTTTGATGTAAATTTTTGTTATAATAAAAAAATTACTTATGTTAATTTGAATTAAAATGATTCCAAACAAAAGTTACGTAGAACTAATAGTTCTCGAGATATGGGGCTGAAAAAAGTTGGAGCAAGGTCCTTAAGACCAGTTTTTCTTGATTATCTCGTAAATCATTGGTTTAATGTAAACTTTAGTTATAATAAAATTTGTTTATTATATAAATTCTTATAAAAATCATCCTATAGAAAATTTACGTAGTGCTAATAGTTCTCGAGATATGAGGCTATAATTAAAAATATTTTACTGGTTAACCAACAACAAAGCTAAAAAGGGCATACAAAAGTTTAAATACATCTCTGCTATTCACTTTATACAAACTTATTGGCATTTTTTTAGGAACTAATTCACCTGCTGGCCATTTAAGGATTAAAACATTAATTTAATTTTAAGGTATTTAAAGTTAAGATCATTAAAGTTTAAAGATTGAAAAGAAAACATTTACAAGATTTATTCCCACAGAATTGTATTTATTGGTATCTAAATAATTAGTATCCCAGGGTATTAAATCTAACACACAAAAGTATGTTTTTTTTTAATTTAATAACGTTAATTTACATTAAATATAATGAGATCCTTATAAATCCAATTATCTACCTTTCTTAGATTTTAAAAGTGTTTGCTTGACCAGGTATAAAAACAAAAAAAAAAACGAAATTCCATGTTTAAAAAACAAATATGCGTTTAATAAAATATTAACTCCCAAATCGTAAAACTAATTTTTTGTCAATGCAATTTTTTGTTGATTTTCAATGTTTAAAAAATCTTCAGCATACCGTCCCTACAAAGCCTCACAAATAGGAAGACAATATACAGAGTGACGTCATTGCGCTGTAATGGTAAAAAACGTTTAAGTCGGTTGTTGTACCGTACCAATGAAAAAGCCAAAGAATCAAGGTGAACTGAAATATTAGAAAGAGAAGCGTTTATATCAACAGCGCGTACAAAAATAAAAGATGTTGCTTGATTTTAGTTGTGATTTAGGAGGTTTGCGTAATACAACTCAAAATCATTGCGTGTCAAAAATGGGCGATCCGAAAAAGACAGGTATTTTATTGTTTCACAGACCATGTGTGTGCTATTTTTACCATACAAATCATATTTTATCTCATAATATTTCCAGAAACAAATTAAAAGAAATTAGGAATGTAGGCACATGTGTCAACATTCCAAATTTCTTTTAATTTGATTCTGGAAATATTATTCAATATTATGAGATAAAATATGATTTGAATGGTAAAAATAGCACAAAATCTAAAAATACTCTCTATAAACAAATTCCAAAATTAAAATAACAAACACATATGGTAAAAAACGTCATTAAAGAATTGGCACCAAATGAAACGTAAAATATAATTATTCGTTTTTCTTAGACCTAAAGTAACTCAGTTTAAATCTTGTTTCAGATGCCTCAAATGGTCCCTTCCGCCGGTTTCACGCCACCTTGTGACTACAGCAATTTCGCGGAAAACTTTGATCTTTCCTTGTTGCCAGGAAGCGAGTTTGTCACTCCACCCTTCTACTCGCAGAGTGTGAATGTTGTGAAGCAAGAGCAACCGAAAATATACACGAGTTTTCACGGTGATAAGGATTTAGTGTTCGCTGAAGAACCTGGGAAGGTGCAAAATATCTATTTGGAGGTTAGCTCTCCTGCCGGGTCCTTATCGCCGTACTCCCCCCACAGCCAAGGTTTACTGTCGCCGAACGATAATTTTACTGCTTATAGACAGTCCGAGATAAATTACTACCCGAGCTCGCCTGAGTTATCCTTGTACACACCATCGCCCAACTCCATTTACTCCAGATCTCCCTGTGGAGATTACGGTGGCACGTCACCATTACCGTCCTTCTCGCCGTTCCAGATAAAGGAAGAAAATTACTTGTCACCTTGCAACTTCTCCTCCCCCACCAGCCCGGTGGGGAATTACACGGACCTATCCTCTCCAGACTTAAAGCAGGAAAGCACAGATGTCGTCTTGTTGGAAAACAATGTCATGGAAAAACAAATAAAGCAGGAGAGTACCGTCGACTTCAGCAACATCCTGCAGAGCTACAACGAAACAGACACGTTCCGGCAGCTTATAGAAGAAGATCTCAAGAAGCAGGAGCACCAGATCGTCCCCGAAAAACCCAAAGACCATCAGCTTCTTCGGGAAGTGCTCAAGGACACGAGCTTCCAGAAGAAATACAACCTCAAACCGTTCGATTTCGGTTTCATCGGCGACGACATCAAGATGGAGGATTCAGATGAGTGCGAAGGCGATTTGATCAAGTGCAAGGAAAGGATCGAGCCGGTTCTCAATATCGCGATTGAACAGATCAGGAAGGACGTAGATAGGACTTGCGCGGCCCTTGGTATTACACCAGGTAAGATTTTTCTTCAGAAGCAAAGTGTAACTGAGTTGGCGAAAAATACTTTAAGCACTTTGTGTTTTGTTTTGTTTTGTTGTTGGGGAATATTTCTTATACACTCACAGGCAAAATAATCGATCCACACAAATTTTCGATGAATTTCAATCGCAAATAACTTTTTATTTGATTTCGAATTTAAACAAATATTAAAGAATATTGTAGAAACATTAATGGAGAATCGCTCACATTTTAAAAATTACTAAAAAATACACGTACGTTTATAATATACAGGTTTAAACAAAAAGATGTTTTTTACCATAAGTTTAAGACACTCTGTAGAGTGGCTAAACCGTATATTGTCCTAAATTAAGTTTTAATTATCAAGTCACATCTATTTTTAACAGTTTTGTTTTTGGTTCACCTTGATATATTTATTTTTGTGGAAAATATGGATTTTTTTTAAAAAAACATAACAATTTCCAATATTTTCCTGTATGAAGAACTAAGGTTGCTATGGTCCATCCATAGCCTATGGAGGATGACATATGTCATATACAGCTTTCAAAAGGTATCAAATTGTTTTTTGTAAATTAATGTGTTAATTTTGAGGTAACTTCTTACTTTTAAAAATGTCTCCGACTGATGTTGCCCTTTGTACTTTACTTCTTGTGACGTTTAAAAAACTTGCCGCGTAATACTGTGACCGTCCATCCTGGATTAAATTAATGGCTCTGGCAACATCAGTCGGAGACATATCCATTTTTTAAAGTAAGAAGACACCTCAAAATTTAAACATTTGCAAAAAACAGTTTGATAGCTTTTGAAAGCCGTGTATGGGATGATTCAACAAAACTGTCACTGTCATCCTCCATAGGCTATGGATGGACTATAGCAACCTTAGTTCTTCATACAGAAAAATATTGAAAATTGCAATGTTTTTTTAAAAAATCTATATTTTCCATAAAAATAAATATATCGAAGTGAACCAAAAACAAAACTGTTAAGAATAGATGTGAATGATAAATAACTTAATTTAGAACCAAATATGGTTTTGCCACTCTACAGAGTGTCTTAAACTTATGGTAAAAAACATATTTTTGTTTAAACCTGTATATTATAAACGTACGTCTATTTTTTAGTAATTTTTTAAAATGTGAGCGATTGTCCATTAATTTATCTACAATATTCTTTAATATTCGTTTAAATCTGACTTCAAATAAAAAAGTTATTTGCGATTGAAATTCTTCGAAAAGTTGTGTGGATCGATTATTTTGCCTGTGAGTGTATTTGTTTAACATATCAACAAAGTTGTCCTTTTTAAAGTTTCACTTAAAATCAATGATTTGTCACTAAACTTAAGAAAAAAATGAACTTTATAATTGGTCTGAATCCATATTTATTAACTGCAATTTTAATTGAGAAAATACACTTGACCCAATTAGATGAAAGCACGGAACAAATGGCAAATTATAAATTACTTGTCTGCAAATTAATAAAATATAAATGTAAAGCTTCTTTAGAGACTGTTTGTATTTGTTTTTCTAGAAATGTTTCTACTTTAGTCTTTGAAAACAAAGTTAATTTTTGGAACCACACACAAAAATTATTTTTTTTTCTCCCACATCACAAAAACAAGTTTAGAACGAGATCTAGAATGCTAGGTGTGGTAACTTGATTTTATTAATCAAGGACATGAACCTTTTTTGTTTTTCTTGTCCAATACCTACTACGAGCTTCTGCTACAATTTTTTTATATAAATATATATGTATCCATGTATAAAGTACAAACTAACCCGACATAACTGTTTATATGACGTCACCGTTTCAACTTCAACAAATGTGTTAGTTACATTGTTTATTTGCTGAAGAATTACGACTAAAATATTATTTTTTCGTATTGGCGTACTTCAAACAAAAGCATTTTTTTGATGTTACAGATCCATGCAACTGGACTTCTGCTGATGTTTTTTCGTGGATAAAGTCGACTTCAAGGCAGTTTCATCTGCCCGAACCAACACCAGAACAATGGGACGTAACTGGAAGCACTTTGATGAGTTTCTCCGATGGAGATTTCACCAGGAGAGCACCTCAAGTAAGTGATTTTGTTAGATATGTTTTGAAAGTATTTCCAAGTATTTGAATTTAGTTTTATTAATTTTATCAGAAAAAGGTACAAAGAGAAAAGTATATTTAAGCTGTGGTCTATGTTTATGTTAATTTGTTTTCATTCTATTTGGCTCAAAGGGTATTTTGAAAACGAGATCTAAATGTTATCAGATTTTAAAAAAATATGTAAATCTTTAATTTTTGGGAGTACCTACCTATATAATTTTATTCAATGAACCAAAATAGATATATGAAAGATAAATCAATACGAAAATAGACAATACAAGCAACTATCTGAGTCAGCTCGTTGTAAAAATCAATTAATTGTTAGATATGCTAATAAAAAATGCATAATCGTGAGAAACCTATGATGTCATTGTAATATTTCCCGCATTAGTTATGGGGAAAATCTTAAACACTATTATATCACAGACGCTAATTAATATTTGTAAGTTTAATTGTTAATCAATAAGTGCAGATATTGGGAAAGTTTGTTTTTTTGTTAGAAATACGAGGTGTGTTCAGAATATAACGGGAATTGTTAAATTTCGCGGGTTAGGAGGGTCCGGTTGTCATAAAATTTTCTTTATTGTTGGTATATATGCCCCCGAAGTATGATAAAAACTGTTTTCATTGTTTACTTTGTCTGTGGCAGCCGCTAAGGTTAGACGTGTTTTATGAGCTCGTTCGTTAAAATAAATGGATCAAAGAATTTGTATCCAATTTTGCTTAAAAAATGAAATAAATTCTGTGAAATGTTAACAAATGCCTATAGTAAGTGCTATAAGTAAAACAAGAGTTTACAAGTGGTATAAGAGTTTCCAAGATGGCCGTGAAGACGTTGAAGATGACGAACGCCCCGAACGCACAAGCGCATTAACAACCGATAAAAACATGGAAAAAGTGGAAGAAATGGTTATAAACCATCAGAGAAGTCGCTGATGATGTTGGTATATCGATTGGCTCATCCCATGAAATTTTTTCGAATGTTTTGGGTATGAAACGCGTGGCAGCTAAATTTGTTCTAAAATTGTTAAATTTTGAACAACATTTTTGGCCAAAAACAATACTGTAATGATGCCTTAGCCTCCATATTCGCCAGATATGCCTCTGTCTGACTTTTTCCCATTCCCAAAAATAAAGAGAACCTTAAAGGGCCGTCGTTTTGCAAGCATAGATGACATTAAAAGCGCATCGCTGAAAGAACTAAAGGCTATCCCAAAGATCGAGTTTTAGTGTTTCGAGTATTGAAAGAAGAGCTGGCACATGTGCATAATATCCAATGGGGACTATTTTGAAGGCGACAACATTAATGTAGACGAATAAATAAATATTTGTTTCAAAAAACGAAAATTCCCGATATTTTTTGAACACACCTCGTATAATTTGATTATATTTGATGGAATCATATGGACCGTCTAAAAATAACTCACATGACGACATACAAAAGTATTATCCAAATAATTATAATAAGTGTACTATACATACTACCATTGTTTATTATTGAAGAGGTTCTTGGTAGGATGATTTACACTGCCTTGACATTTATTATGAAACATGAAAACGTCTTTGTACAAACACCCTGTATATTGAATTTATTTATTAACGTGCTATAAATTTCATTGGAAGTATTGGAGTTAAATCAAAAAATATTAAGAATATTAATAAATACATCATAGTATATATCTTGTTTTGAATGCTAATAAATTATAACAAGCATTAACCTACATACCTTTTCTGACACTCCCGTAGTAGTAATTATAACTATACTTATCTATTTATTATTTCATTAAGTACCGAGCAATCTCATTTGCATATAAATTATTTTTCATGGAAATAAAATATTGGCAAATTATCTTAAACTTGCCTAACTCTAGAAGAAACATCTAAAACCCGTTTGAACGTGAATCCAATCTATATAATTATCAAAGCGAAGCAAAATCATCATTATCATCATCATGGATGTGCTGTTAAGGCCTTCGTTAACCTTTCCCCAGGCAATGTCATCATACGTCCTTTACACAATATCGCAAAAAGCATTCAGACACCGTGGGCAGCGGCTCGCAGGGGGGTGGGGCGGGGGGCAAGGAACCCAAGAGAAAGTCTTTCCACAAGCGACCCACTTAACGGAATGTTTTCGTATTGACGCACAAGTGAATCGTGACGAAAATGTCGAGAAATGTTGTGAAAAACGTCAGAAGTTTAGAAAATGCCCCAAGTGTAAAAAAGATTTAAGAACCAGCGACCAAAATCATAATTATCCGATCTAGTTATTTAGTTCTTGAAATGGTCGAATTAAAAAATTCCTTAGATATTCAATAAAAAAGTTTACAATGTTGCCAACTTAAGTAGACACACTGTATATGATTTCTAGTTGTTGGTTGTAATTTAGAAATTATTGGCGGATTGTTTATTAGTGTTTTTAGCAAACCTGTTTTGTAGCACTATCTATCTAATGAGCGAATTAAAATGTTCTCTTGGGAAACTTGAGTTTTAGATAATTATTTAGTTTTGTTTATTTATTTTTTGTAACGTTTTGTTTTTCTAATTCTACATTCTTAAATATTTTAAATATAATCTTTAGTGGCGAGTTAAATAAAATTTATTTTTGCAAAAATGGTGGATGCTCCGGGATTAAAACTTGAATTTATTGGATAAATTTAAATACTTGACTTACTGGTTTATTTGCCATAAAACTTGTCGAAAATATTTTAGATAAATTACTCAAATTAATAAAACATTAAAATACTACACAGAGAAAAGTAATCTCTTGATTTTACTATATTTGGCTTGGCTCAAATAAATTATTTATTTCGATATCTACACACAGAAAAATAAAATTTCATTTTAAGAAGAATTATTGTTTTCAAAATTTTTACTTCATTCAAAACACAATAATCAGTTCTAATTAAGACTATGCTTTTACTTGGAGAAAAACGCTAAGATTACTGGGAAAATGTTATTTCTTTAAATTATTTTTTAACTGGAACATAACGGTTTCATTTGGAATAATTTTTAACAACTTAACATAAGAATAAGAAAATGTTTAAATGAAAAGAAAACTTATTCTTAAACTGATTCAACGATTTTTTCGGGTGAAAATTTTCAACGATAAAATGTATTTGTTCAGATAGAATATAATTTTTATTTTGAATAGTTATATGGTTTCTTTAAAAATTCTCAATTTTTAAATCAAGAAAATATATTTGATTAAAGAGTATGTTTCTTTTGAATAAACCCACGCATGCGCTAAGGTACCATCCCCTTCGTCTTGACTCAGCGTAGCGTCCTTCTTTACATGACGGTATACCGGTGCAAGTTCTCGGTGTAATTAATTGTGGTGAAATTGTGGTATATTTTGTTGTCGTTTGTTTAATTGGAGATAACTTGGGTCTTCATTCAGTGTTAGGTTACCAAGAATATTCTTCTGCATTTTTTTGCAGGTTTTGCACTCTACCCAAGATAGAAAGTTTGTATTAGAAACACGAAACAAACAAACAAGTTACAGAAAAAGCATCCCTGTGAAGGGAAAAAGAATAGTATTCTAATCAATTGGGAACAACAGCTTTATATTTTCACTGTAAAAATTAAAATGAATTTCATATGAACCGATAGGGTTTATTTTAAGAATATCATGGTTTTACTTTAACACCGCATCTTTTCAAATTAAAAATACGATTTTTTAGTACAAAAATATGTCGATAGTTTTTTGAAAAATATTCTGCTTATTTTAAGAAAACATAGTCTAAATCAAAGTTGTAATAGCTACAGAATAAGAATTGACAAAGTTTGACCACAAATTGACTAATTTCAATTTAAGAATTTTATAATTTTATAACATTACAATTCGAATAAATAAATTTCTTGTGAGAAACAAACATTTATTTGTGTATATGGAAAACTAAGATTTGCTTGGAACAATAGTATTTTATTTGTTTTAAAAATAATCTTTTTTCTGTGTACAAGAAGATATTTATATAGTGGAAAACTTGGGTTTATTTAACTTTTTAAACTGATATTTGGTTAATACAAGTAAATAACTAGATAGACTTTTTATCTCAGGTTTAGTAGAAGCTTACTTAAAGAAACAAAACCTACATCCAAACAAATTAATTAATTGCTCTAAATAAATATTTCCACAATTAATCACAATAACAAGAAACTTATGATTTACAACCAAATAATATTATTTTATTATTGTAAACAAGTCACTACGAATAAGAAAATTTTACTTCATACAAGAAAACCTGTTTCAAATAAATGCATTTTCTTAAATCAAGAGATTACTTTTCTCTGTGTAGTTTTTATAATTAGTCATTTTAACCATTTGCTACTTTTTCAGAGTGGTAGTATTTTACATGCCCAACTGGAAATATGGAAGGCAGCCTACTCCGATGATAATAACCTAAAATGGACACCAGATGGAGTTTCAAGTAATGCTTCCAGTGGAGATATATCAGATGGTACGTTACCAACAATATCTCCTAACATAAATATGAAATTTGCATCTAATATAGTTCGTAATACCTTTATGAAAGCTAACAAAGGCAAATTCTTAAAAGTACCATTCCATGGTCAGTCGATTAAGTATGCGTGAAGCAATTCGACCACACCTTCAAGTTTATCTTTGTTTCTTATTATTTGCTCTTAATTTGCTACGCTACTGATCGTAATCTGCGGAAAAAATTGTAATGCGTTGTTTTGTTCGTGAAGCGAATAACAATTAACTGAGAAAAAACTTAAATTACTGGTTTAGATTTGTTGTGAACGTATTCTCTATAATTACAAAGATAAATCGCTATGGGCAATCTAAAGTAGTAGTTAAAATATAATAAAAATGTCGGTATTTTCATTAATTTTATTATTGGTTAATGTTAGATAATTTCATACACTTTTAAAAAATATATATCTTAATATGCTCTAGTACTAATTTTCGAGATAATCCACAAAATATAAAGTAGTATATATCTTGATATGTTTCAGTGCTAATTTTTATAGATTATCCACTAAGTATAGTCGTGTCAATTTTGGTTCTTTTGAAATTAAGAGCAACTTTGGAAGTCTGTGGTTTGGTTATTTTTTACCCAATTTAAAAAATATGTATATCAAATGTTAGACAATTTCATTTTTCAGTAAAATTGTACCTACAGTTCATTTTTTATCTGGAGTCGTGTTTTTTTGTTAGGTTGGTGGCTTATGCCAGTTTGACTTAGTATTTTTAGTATTTAAAAATGGTACTTCTGCTAAAGAATTTAATTAAATACTTAAATAGACAATAATATTTATTATTTATAATTTACTTGTCAGTTATAAATAAAAAGATAATTATGCCAAAAATAATAGCAACGAATTCGAATGTAAAAGCCCTTTTGAGGGCAAAACTTCATTTTGATGAAATTATGCAAAATGCCACAATGGAAGAAAAAGTACATCGCCTCTTGGACATTTTTGGAGTAAAAAAGTAACGAATTTGGTTTTATAAATATTACATCACACATTATTCACCATTGACAACATTTATGTTCACAAAAAAATTTAATTTCTTTTATATAAATTCTTTTCAAAGCGAAGATTATTATCCGCTAGGAATACTTTCTCTTCTGGGCCGTAAAGCAACCTATATTTAACTACTTTTTTATATGATTTTACTCATACAAGCACCACCAAAGGCAAATTAATTGCATTTTTAACTACGAATTTCGACAACTCAACTTGACAACTGCACAATAATTTATACATAACCACAATTAGATTTATAACTAGCTTAGTTTGTTTTAATCAATGCGACCAACTTGACAACTGTATTTAACAACCAAAACCCTAAATTTGCAACGTTGCCGCAGTCCAGATAAAAAAAATTAACTTTATATATTTTTACCAGGGTTGACTTTGTTACATATTAATATATTGTATTTCCTTAATGATATCATGTCGATTTCAAAACTGTTTACAATGTACGTTACATACATTATTACAAATGGGAAATTTTAAGACCTTAGAGCTTGCATAATCCAGCTTTGCATTTAAAACAATAAATAATTACATGACAATACCGAAATGAATTATTAACAGCAAGAAACACGCTGCAAATACTCGCCGACCTTGAAAAGAAACCGTTCTAGATACAATGAAAAACTCGCGAATAAAGGTTATGGGAATATAAACATTTACAATTATAATTCGCTAAATGTCACCTGACCTTTCCTTTCGCTATTTTCAGAGGAAGAAGAGGATTCCTCCCCTCCCAAAGCCGATGCGTCCAAACCGACCACATCGAGAGCGGGGGGTTCCCACATCCACCTGTGGCAGTTCTTGAGGGAGCTTCTGGCGTCGCCTCAAGTGCACGGCTCGTGCATAAGATGGCTGGACCGCTCGAAAGGCATCTTCAAGATCGAGGACTCCGTCAAGGTGGCGCGCCTGTGGGGCAAGAGGAAGAACAGGCCGGCCATGAACTACGACAAGCTGAGCAGGTCGATTCGGCAGTACTACAAGAAGGGCATCATGAAGAAGACCGAGAGATCGCAGAGGCTGGTCTATCAGTTCTGCCACCCGTACAATCTGTCACCGTAAGTGGCCGCATTGCGGCTGGACTTGTACATATGGGGTTATCGGCTGGGTTCTGGTGTTGGTTGTTCGGTTACGCGTTTTGAAGTTATCAGAATTGCGGTTATTATTTATTACTTGCCCTTGGGGTATTACCGGGGCAAGATATGCCAGTTAGGCATTAAATTGTGTCGAAGGAAGGTAATTTCCGGATTAATTTAAGAAATGTTTACCGTGAAGTAGAAGAAAGTCTTCCTGGCCGAAATATTTTCGTTACTTCTGACGATCTGAGCTCACTTTGGTGCTCGATTTGAAGCAACTCAAAGTATTTCAAGTGAAGGTTGGTGGATTTGTTTTTCGAAAAACGGTAATTTTTGACCCATATATCTATGATATATCATGCTTGTAAGTTCTATGAACAAATTTGATTAAAAATGTAATTATATTAAATAAAGGGTTTGTTAAGTTATAACATTCGCTAAATTAGATTACCTAGGTGTTTTATAAATTTGTATTAAGGTTATATACTCTTAGATACTAAGATTTACTATAAGTAGTATATATATACTGAAACCAAAATTTTCTTTTGTTGTATTTTGTTGTAAATAAATTTCTATTAAGGCCTAGTTTTAACTGTTTAGTTTAATTTAAATGTTTAATTGTATATGTAGATTATTTATCTCAATATTAAAGTCTTTATATTTATATTTATTGTGTTAAAAATATGTTATTAAATGTATATTTATTTATTTATTTTTTATAATAAAAATATTTGCATGTGGAAACAATAGTAAATTTTTAAATCCTTCCAAAACCTTTAAGTTAAAAAAGCCTTAATTTAATTAATTTATTATTATATCTTAATAAAAAAATTATATACCTACCATTTGAAATAATCTTTATTAAAATTGTTCCAAAAATAACAAAACACTCAAAATTTGTTTTAATTTTAAGACAGACTTTTGTGGATAGTCTCAAAAATTAATACTTGATATTTACATTTTCCTAAAGTGGATGAAATTATCTAACATTTGATATAAATATTTTTTAATTTGACAAAAAAATAACAAAATTGATCTTAATTTTCAAAGTTCTAAAATTGGCAAGACTTTATATTTTTGTTTAAAATGTATGTTATTCAGTTTACGGAACAAACAAAATGACGTAATTTTAAACTGATTTTGTTTAATAATGCATATAATGAGGCCTTTTATATAAATTAAATAATACCTATAGCCATAAGTTATACATATACATATAGTTAAAATTTCCAATGGAACACCCTATTTTTTATTGCAGTTTCGGATCATTCGACTAAAAATAGGTAGATTTTGTCAAAAACATTTTTAATAGATGGCGCTTTAATGAAAAAAATCAATTTAGTTCGATTTTTCTTCTGTATAGTTATAGTTACCCCCTGTTCCCCCTATAAGGAAGAATGTATGAGGACCAATTTTAGTACTGATTGATTTCCCCCCTCGAATCATTTAATTTTTATTTTAAACAGTAAACTGAGATATTTCAAAGTTTCAAGTTTATTTACTCACCCAGTATATAATAATGAATTTAAAAACAGGTAAATTTTACTTTAATTAATTTGAAATTAACAAAGTTAACCACGATTTTTAATTAATTAAAAACCGATTTCGTGACCACGTGCAAAAAAAACATTTACGCGGGCGTCCTTGTCCAACCACTTTATTCGTTGATAAATCAGCCTTTAGCCAAACTAAATCGCTTGAATTATTTTCCGGCCCAGATGACCTTCAGTAGTTTGGTAGAAAAAGCAATACAATTGATTTTTTTAGGAATTTACAACTTTTTTATAATAACATTTTTTTTGACGGCATTTTCGGATTCAGGGGACAATTTTAGGGTTTTAAAATTTCCGGAAAAATTGAGCCGGCGGGAAAAAACCGGTTTTTCCTGAAAAAAGCGGAAAAATTGGGAAATTTTCAGAAAAATTGACATTTGCATTTTTTTAGTTTTATTCAAAGGGTAATTCGAAAAAATGCAGAAGTCAATTTTTCGGAAAATTTATAAATTTTTACGAATTATATCCGTACACTGATATGGAGAAAAAAATTTTGACGCTGAATCTTAATATTATAATATAACATAATATATAGTATAGTATACTATATAGTATAGTATACTATATATTATATATATTATATATAATATAATGATTATTCCTTTTATTATAAATTAAGTAAGAATATTCTACCACGTCGCAAAAAAATATTCGGTGCTGTATTAACATAACTTTCGTTTTATTTAACACTTCAATTTATAAAATTATAATTTTGTAATTTAACTTTATAAATCATTTATTATTTTGTAATTGAATATTTTCAATGGACTCCTTTTTGTAAAAATTACCCAACCTACCTACGTTTATTTTCTTAAATCAATTTAATGTTTAGTTTTATTTTTATTTTCTCTAAGGATATTTTTTTAATAATTAAAATAATGTTAAGTTGTTAAATGCTATTTTTTTAAATGTGAATATCTATAAAAAAATTTAATTTTTCCCAAAAAAGATTTTTTTCCCAATTTTTCCGGTTTTTTCCGACCCTTTAAAACCCTAGACAATTTTACATGACTATTTCCCTCGTCTTAATTTCCACCAATCACAAACGCGCAATTTTGAATTACAAATGGTTTCTAGGTGAAAAAAACTGTGTGACAGCACCTGTCAGCAGTTTATTCGAGTTTACCCGCGGCAAAACTTGACAGCTGTTGTCACCAAAAATTGCAATTTATATTTTAATTGTTAACTGTTACTCATGAAATAGTCTTGTCAAATACCATTCGGGCATCTAATTTTTCCTGTGAAAAAAATCGAAAAAACACAATGCTAAGTAATATTTTTGAACAAAAAGCATTCGTGCAGGGGCAAAAATCCTCCTCTTCGACTCGGATTTTTGTTGCCACCAGCACTCATGCTTTTTGTTAAAATATCACTTAGCAACGTGTTTTTTCGATTCTTTTCGGAAAAATTAAATGCCCTTATGATATTACTTACGAAAATTGACTGCTCAATTTTCGGGATACAGACTTGCTTTTTCGCTATGACAATTAGTCATTTTTGACTAACTCATTTGTAGAGACTACGTTTTCTTGTTCTCTTTGGCGCGAGTTCTGGGACACCCTGTATGTAAAAACTACGAATTCAAAACCACCCACGCTTCAACTGGAAAATCGTTATACCCGACGTCATCAATGACGTCAGCGGCCCTCTTAATGTCACGTGGGGAAAACACATAAACCTGCCATTTGAATAAAGTTATTTAAGGATTAAGGTAGCATGACAAGTTAAAAAAATGTCAGATACAGTTATTGTTTTTATTATATACATAAATATATGTATATATATATATATATATAAGGTTTTATTTTAAAGTTTAAAATCAGGCAAATTTTGCCCTTTAAAAGTATCACGCAATCTCATAGAATGTAGTGCAGACTTGCGCAGTGAATATTTCACCCACCAGTTGAACCCCAACCCTTGTATCGAGACGAAACGGTGAAAATGTTATAATCGTAAAACTCGCAAGCAAAGCTACGGGCGCGAGCGATACAAACAAACAAACAAACAACAAAAATGTCGTGATAGTGCTTGAAAAATGAGTTCGAAGCTTCCGAGAAGTCCCAGGACACGCAGGGAGAAGCAGCAGGACTACGTAAGGCAGGAGACGGTGGCCCAGGTGCACAAGTCCACAAAGTCCAACACCAGCTCCGAGTACGACTACGCGAATTCCGAGGACAATGGGGAGTTCAAGCACGAAGAAAACGAGAACATCGAGTTGCACACGCCAAGCGTCATTTCCGTGGACGGAGAGAGCCAAATCAACTCGAAAATACTGTCCCTAATAGAGAGCGAGATAAAGAGGGACAACAACTCCACGAAAAAATCGCATTTCACCGACTCCAGGCCCCAAAGTTTGTCGTTTTACGAGGACGAAAAAATTCCTGAGGAGTTATCCGGTAATTATTTAGTGTTTTTGTTTTGTTGCGCATGCGCTCTACCAAAGGTTAAAGTTTAAAAGTTTTTAAAGTTTAATATCGGCAAGAAGAGCAAAAATATTATTGATTTGGCCATAAAAAGTTAAATTTGGTCTGTCCATTTTTTGCCCTGCTCTCCCAAGTAACAATTAAAGTATTTATTGAAAAAACTTAAAAGTTTTTTGCGACAGTCGCCGGTCTCTTTATTACTCTTTCATTACTAAGTTACGACTAAAGTGGGGAACAATTATTGAGTTCCAAAATGGTAACAAATATGTCACTAGCCATAAACCCTGCTACTATTTGGAACGTAGCTGCTACTTTACTAGAACGTTCCAATATCGTTGCTAGAGCGTTATAATTACTTTTTTCTAATCCCACCTTTAAAACGCCCTTTATCGTACTTGTTTCCATGACACTAAGTGACCTTTTAAATACACATTGACAAGTTGTGGCTTTATGGCGCTTTAGTCACGGGCTGAAGTTAGCAACAGGTTTTTAGTCACGGGCTGAAGTTAGTTTTAAGTTAGTTGACAGTTGTCAAATGTCATACAATCGTTAAAATAAAGAGACTTTCTTGTAAAATAATACTAAATGTAAAAATTATTTTATTATCTCAATACAAAAATATTAAATAGTTTTTCAACGCCAATATTTGAAAAGTTTATATGAACATTATACTGACCTTTTAATTTCGCCGGCAGTAAACTATAACTTAAATTCGGGCAGTCCTCATAAAACATTTCCTTTACTTTCGCTGTGAAAAACTGTCAATTTTCAAGATACAATTCGATTTATAAATAACCTTTATAATTGTGTTTATAAAATGTAAAAATGTGACATTTGACAGTTTTCCATGTTGTTCCATAGATGGCGCTCTATACAAATTTTTAACTTAAATCATTTTAAGATAATAATAAGTATTTGTCGTAGAAAAAGTATAGTATGTGCCTAAATTAAATTCCTGTATAAAATGGCGTTTATCAAACTTGATACATAATATACTATTATTATTTGTTTTTACTTCTATATTAACTGTCTTTGTCAAACTTATATTAGATTATACGAGCCCTAACAACTAATTTTCAGAAATATTTACTCATTTCTCATTAAATAAATAATATTTAAATTTAAAATTAAAATATTTTATTTTTTACACGCTTAGAAGTCACATATACTTAAATAAGAATTTATTTAAATAAAAATTGAACAAAAAAAGTAAAACAAATAAAAAATTAACAAATTATGTTGGCAACTTAAAGTTCGGACGATCACTTATTTAAAGGTTTAGTACATCTCCTTTGGCCTTTATAACAGGTCTTATCCTGGCTGGCATGGATTCCATTAAGAATCTACAATAATCTGGTGTAAAAGATTCCCATATTTCTGAAAATTTTGTCTTCAAATCATTAGTGGTTCTTTGAGGATTATTTCTTAAATAACTTTTCATGCGATGCCACAAGGTTTCAATAATATTGAGGTCTGGACTACTTGAAGTCCATGACAAAACTCTCATAGTGTGTGCTTGATGCTTCATCTTGTTAAAAGATAAAATTACCATCGGGATAAAGATCTTCTACACTGGGAATAAGGCTGTTTTGTAGAATTTGTTGATATTTATTTGCATTAACTATTCCATCTATTATTTCCATATGCCCCACACCCTTTCCAGACATACAACCCCAAATCATTACCCCCTTTGCAAATTTTACTTTCCTTTTTAAACAGTCTTTATGAAAGGCTTCAGTTTTATCCCGAATAATTCGTTTTCTACAATCACCTACACACACGTCAAATTTGGATTCATCGCTAAATACGACTTTGACCCAGTCTTCTGCTGTCCAGTTCAATTTAGACTTAGCCCAAATTAGACGGTTTTTCTTCTGTGCTTTTGTTAATAGCGGTTTTTCTTTTGCCTTTAATAAAATAAATAATAAAGTTTAAAAAATTTAAATAGATTTTTGTTTTCTTCTTTATAAAAACTAGTAATTTTTTTATACCTTATAAAAACTTCCGGATTTATGAATCCACTGTCTACAACATTCTCGCGAAATGTTTAGCCTGGTTTCTGCGTTAAAAATCGCCGTTACTTCCCTTAAAGTGGATCTTCGATTATTTTTGCAAATCCTTACGAGCTGCCTCCTCATTCTAGGAGACACTTTTCTTAGCTTCCCTGTACTTTTACTCCGAATTTCGTAACCACTGGTTTCCCCATAACATTTTATCTTGTTTCCTATAGTAGATTTCGCCAAATTTAAATTTTTTCCAATAGTTCCCATGCTATTTCCTTCATGGTACTGTTTTATTACAATTTTTCGAATTTCTTTAGAAGTAGCCTTACCACGAGCAATTTTTAACACGGTAAATTAGAGACCATTATAAAACACGCCACAAGATTAATTAATTTGACACTTCTTTAACTTAAATCATAGCCACTTTAATGACAATAAACTAAATTTTTATTTAAATAAAATCTTATTTAAGTATGTGACTTTTAAGCGTGTAAAAAATAAAATATTTTAATTTTAAATTTAAATAATATTTCTTGAATGAGAAATGAGTAAATATTTCTGAAAATTGGTATCGTCTGAACATTAAGTTGTTAGGGCTCCTTTTTTAAATGGAACCACTACGGACTTGGCTTTTCAATGTCGTCGTTTAATAAATATGTACTGGTAGTTTATAACTTCCAGAATAACAATATAATGTTTAATTAGGCAGGTCAATTTATAAACCCTTTAAATTTTACTGTTGAACTTATGAATTTAGTTTTTGGAAAATAAATGCGCTTCATCGATATTTAAGTATAAACAAATTATTTATTTAATAATGTTTATAAATAAAAAAAATCTTATTATTAATTTTTTATTTAATTATTAATACTGTCTATTACCAACAAAATTACTATTTATTAAAAAGTAAACAACCATTTACAAACAATTAAAATAATTTATTATTTACATTACCACGTGGTACTGTACAGTAAAAAATGGCCGACAAGAAGCATTTTTCTTTGAAGTAGTTTTCGCCACTTTAAAGTTTTTTTCCACCTTAATTTACTTTACGGTAGTTTTGTTTAGTACCATAAACGTTCCAAATACTAAAATAATATCTTTTAAGTTATTAACTTTGTAGTTTTTAAGTCATGTTCCAGTTTCGAGATTTTAACTTGCAAAGGGACTACAAAGTTAAAATAAGTATAATGTAATCTTTAGGTAGCAACCGAAAGTAACTGCTACAAATTAAATTTACTTAAAAGTTTTTTTACTTATAACACCTTTTTTAAAGTTGCAAAGTCTTCTTGGGGGCAACCAAGTTTTACTTAAATGTTTATTACTTTATAGTAACCATTTAAGGAAAGAATTAAGTTTCTGTTACAAAATATTGCTATCTAAAAGTTAGAATTACTTTTAAGTAAAAATTAGTATACTTAACTAATTTAAAGTTATCACCACTTTGGCAATGGTTTTTGGAACCAAAAATGCTGCTTGGGGTGTCTTCAAAAATGGACTTTTTGTTCTTATAAAGGATTCATTCAAATAGGTCTACCTAACGCAAAGGATGAGCGAGATTGCTAGCTGTGGAAATTTTTCTCTGAAAAAGTCTGAATAATACTTATTAAGTCGGAAAAAGTCAGAATAAGACTTATTAAGTCGGAAAAAGTCTGAATAAGTCTTATTAAGTCAGACTAATAGTAAGATTTGGGAGTCTTCTAGAAGAGTTAATAAGACTTTTTAAGACTTAATAAGACTTTTAGTAGAGAAATGGTAGGTACCTACGGAGATAAAAATAAATATCCAAAATAATTCATAGAGGTTGTATTTGGTTATTGTAAAATAAAACACATAGAAAGTATTTATTAACATTTTTGCTGTTGTTATAAGCCAAGTTTATTGCATAATTACCTATATAATAACATAGGTAAGATGTAATAATTATAACAATTATAATTTTATACATACGATGCGCTTGACATGCATGCTTTCATTGTTTCCACCATAGAAAAAGGAGTTGCCACTGTACGTTTTATTTTAATAGTTTCTTTTGATACACACAAATATTTACCTATCTAAACATTGTTACAAACAAATCTTCTAGACGTAATATCGAGAGACCAGCTCAGCTAGCTGACCAATTAGAGCACAGCTGATCTGTCAGTGGGACACAGTGTTGCCGTTTGCAAGTATTTTACTCGAAAATCGGGTATTTTCGTAATATTTGCGGGTGATTTGCAAATTTCTATCAAAATAATAACAAAAGAAATTTTCAGTAAATAATATTGTATATTTACTAAATATGCACAATTATTTTATTCTATCCTGTTACATTTTTATTATTATTTTAGTATTTTGTAATTTATGGTCAGGAACTTTTATGGCAACACTGTACGTAAACACAAAGATCAACCATGATACAAAGATGAATGAAACACGAAGATCAACCATATATAATATTTGTCTTATGAGTCTATCGAAAATATCATGTCTATAGACAATGGAAGCATCTCAAGCGCATCGTATGTATAAAATTATAATTGTTATAATTATTACATCTTACCTATGTTATTATATAGGTAATTATGCAATAAACTTGGCTTACAACAGCAAAAATGTTAATAAATACCTTTCTATGTGTTTTATTTTACGATAACCAAATTCAACCTCTATGAATTATTTCGGATATTTATTTTTATCGCCATAGGTACCTACCATTTCTCTACTAAAACTTATTAAGTCTTAAAAAGTCTTATTAACTCTTCCAGAAGACTCCCAAATCTTGCTATTAGTCTGACTTAATAAGACTTATTCAGACTTTTTCCGACTTAATAAGTATTATTCAGACTTTTTCAGAGAAAGTAAGACTTTCTCAGAGAAAAATTTCCACAAGGGCTATCTCTGTGAAAAAATTACAAAACAATATCTTTTTCAGGAAACCTGGAGCTGCTCAGCCCAGAAGAACGCAAGCACTTCAAGAAACGGAAAGAGTACATGCAACTGGACGACGAACGCAACCTCTACAACTCCATAACGGACATGTACAACGCGCGGGAGACCGAAGAGGTGGCGAAGAAGCACAAATACCGGAAGAAACGCCACCCGGAAACGGAAATGGGCATGGGAAACAGCACGGAAATGATGATACCCAAAGAGCGGCCGAAGAGGAAGAAGAAGCGAAGAGAGACTTCTCCGGCGAACGGGAAAAGGAAGCACAAGAAACGGGATGACGATTACGACTTGAGGAACGATGTAACGATTGCTTTGGAGGATTTGCAGGATGACGTCTTCGATAGCAATCTGGACGAACTTCATGTGAAGCCGGAAAAAGTCAGGAAAAGTCCGAGGAAGTCGGACAAATTGTACATACAAAGGAAGAATAAGTTTGAATACATCTCCAGAAGCCCCAATGGTAACCTAATCAACAATAAAGACTGCGAGGAAGGTTCTAATCAAAAAGAGTAAGTACCAATTTATGTTAGTTAGTGTTACATAAATCATTTAACCATAACCATATCTTTATTGCTAACAACAATTACTTACACGGGCTTGGCGAAGAGGCATTTCAAGTATAAGCAATAAAAAAAGGTAACAACCTGTATGTTAATATAAATTGTCAGATATATCACAGCCGTTCTGCTCTATTTATTTAACAGGATGTTGTGAATCAAATTCAATGGAAAATGACGTAAAAAATAGTATATTACACTACAAGGGCAGAAAGTGTGAGATTCCTGCACTGCGCGCCATGATGCCCGAGGCGAAGCCGAGGGCATCATGGCGCGCAGTTCAGGGCTCTCACACTTTCTGCCCGTGTAGTGTATACTATTTTTCTTGCTACCCCGCAGAAAATACGGGAAAAAATTAAATGTATATAAAAAAACTCGTGTCAAAATTAAAATCTGACGTTTAATTTAATTCTGACGTTTACATTCAAAATCAATCAAACTGTAGCGTTGTCATGGTAATTCAGCGGTGCCAATACAGTAAAAATAAAAGGTTGTATTTTAATTAACAAATTACTACTTTATAACAAATAAAAGTACCATTAAACACTTAAAACAACATAAAAAGTAAAAAAGTAAAAACATAAATTGTTTATTTGTTGTTATAATTGCAAAATTATGGTTTAAAACTGTCATATTTTTGTGTTTCTCATGTTGGCAGTACGAAATTTGAATGTTAAGCACACGACTAAAAAATTTTTACTCCCGCTATTAGAGTGTGCGCGTATAGCTTGACCAATGCAAGAAACGTAAACTTTCTGCCGTGAAATCGGGGACGAAACAACGTATTTTGAGTCGAGGTAGTAAGAAAACGATGTTTCATATCCATTTAAAAAATATCAAAATTAAAAAAAAAATCTATTGCAATTTTACTAAACATGTTTAGGAAATTTTTACGCACCACAATATAGGTAGTAATAATAAAACTCAATTTTGTAAATTCACTACACGATTCATTACAACTCAATTTTGAAAAATTACAAAACGTTTGTTGAAATTCACCAAGCATTTATTAAAAATTTGTTCATTAACATTACTATACAGGTATTGTAATTTTGCTAAAGAAATAGTAAATATGTTTAGTAATTTTAAAATGGTGTATTGTAATTATACCATTCAATTCATTTCAACTCAGTTTAAGAAAATTACAAAATATATTTTACTATTTTACTGAACTGAAGAAAATTCGTTTCGCAATATTACAATACAAATATAAGTATATTATTGTTAATTTGTACAACAAATTACACTAAAAATATTTAGTAATTTAAGAATGATGGTATTATACTACAAAAAAACCTGCAATTTTCTTAGTTTCTTCAAGAAACTTTCTTGACCCATTACTGTAAAGATTTAAAAAAATTGAACCTTCACGTCGCCAGAGTTTTTGTTTTAAGTGCGTTCCACCAACTTCAAATACCGACAGACAGCTAGACAGATAGACCTATTTTGGGTCTTATCAATGTCGGGCAATTTGGTGTATTGGAACACACCAAAAACAAAAGACACCTGAGCTTATATACTGTCCACCTAAGTCAACCGAGGCGAGATGTAAGAACGTGATTGCGTGCATACTATGCATTTTACATAACATTATAGCAAATCAAATTACAAACAACGTTTGTAAATCTGAGATGCTTTTTATTAGAAACTGTCAAACTGTTTAGTAAAATTACAATGCGTGTAGGATTTATAAATACATATAGAGCAGTGGCGTATTTAGGATTTAGCTCCGGGGGGGGTCCAAAAAACTAACTAAATATGTACTACGCTATGCTTTAATAACTAAAAAATCACAAATTAGGAACTCTTCTGATCCGATAAAATAGAAAATAAAAGGAACGATATACTATTGCGGCCGATAAAAAGTAATCGATACTTTATCAAGTTGCATGTTTTTCTTAAAAATTGGCTATTGTAAGTAGGGTTTTTTACGTCAGTCATGTCAATTAAATTATTTTGACAAGAAAACATAGGTGTATGACATATTTAATTTTTTAATAAAAAAAACTTAAATTATATAAAGCATGTTTATTTGTAATACAAACAAAAAGAACAAATTATTTATTGGTCGACCAAAATAAATAAATTTAAACTTAAAAAGAAATAGTATACTACGACTATAACAATTATAAAAGATGAGCCAACCAGGGTTGGATGGTCTCAGAAAAACCGGCCCTGGCAATTTTTTCATCCAGCCCTCCTTCGGGCATTATCTTACATAATCTTACACATTTGTAATGCTATAAAAACACCATTTAAAAAAAAATATATAGGGTAAGGTGGGGCAGGTTCGGACACGTTTTTTCAAAAATTAATATTTCAAAGATAACAAATTTTTTTAGACTTAATGCAAATACTACGGATAGCTTAGTCTATTTCCAACATTTTAGCATTATCTTAAGCAAAAAATATTAAGTGGTTTTCGTTTGGTGATATTTTACTTAAAAAAATGCATTTGTCCGAATCTGCCCCATATTGGGGCACATTCGGACAAGTAGTGGGGTACTTTCGGACAGGCCTGAGAAAATTTGGAACCTATTTATTTTTAGAACGAATAAGAGACTCTATTAGAAAAAGTTTATTAAACATTATAACCATCAAAATTGACATTAAATTTAAAGAGCGAACACATCTTTGAAGTTCCTGGTGCTGCCTTTGGTGCTGCTTCGGTATTTTCGAAACTATATCTTCTCTGGAAACAGTCGAAATATCTTGCAAGTCCGGAAAGCGGAAACCGCTTTTATACTTCCTCAAAAAATTTAAGACGTAAGAGCCTTCATTATTGCAAGATTCTACCTTGCCGATATAATGAAGTGTCCTTCTGTTGGTCGGGTATTTGACAAGCAAATAATCATGACAATGGATCACGTCATCATGCAATAGCATGAGCACATCGTCATTGTCTTGAAACTCGTCCAGAGAATCGGAATCAAAAATTTTTGTCTCATGCACAATATTCTGTGGTAAATCTATATCAGAATCCGAGGAGTCACTTTCTATTTTTTTTAACTTTTTTTTCGGCGCCTTTCCTTTGCTCTTCTCCCCAACTTTTGTATCATTTTTCTTCACTTCACATTCGCTTTGTAATGCTTTTCTTTTCGTGTTTTTTTCTCCAACTTTTGTTTTCTCATTGTTTCCAATTCTTGAATTCTTTCCTTTTCCGGTGTGCTTGTATAAATTCTGGATTTACCTTTTACCTTTTTTCTTTTTAAAATAGTTACGTACCATCCCAGAAAGTTAAATCAATCAAAACTGGGTTTTATTTGTAAAATGGGGCACATTCGGACAGTCCGAAGCTGCCCCACCCGATTTGTCCGAACGTGCCCCATGTTCCAGAAATACATAGATATCAAAATAAAAATTTGCACATGGTTAACTGATGCTGTTTTATGAGGTTATGTATCGCCAAAGATATTAATATCTGCGGTAAAAGGTATAAAACTTACCTTACTGGTGTTCTCAAGCCAAGAAAGCTTACGATAGCCCTAATAAAATTTATAAGAATAACTATGTTTTTATATTTTCTCAAATAAATAGTTGTCGAGTGATCAAAGTCGCTAAACATGTACGGACCACAAAACTATTAGTGTAGAAGGATATTTACTGTCAAAATGGAAACTCTCGTAGCACTTTAAGGCGGTAAATTTGATTTGTCCGGAGGTGCCCCATGTCCGAACCTACCCCACCTTACCCTACTTGGTAGAACCACCATTCTTCTCTATAACATTTTGTAATCTCCCAGGCATGGAACTAATTAAATTTTGCATATCGTAATTTTCTTCCAAATTGTTCCACTCATTTTGAATTGCATTAATAAGGTCTTCTCCATTTCTTGGTCTAAATTCATATTTATATATTTTTTTACGAGATATCCCCAAATATTTTCGATTGGGTTTAAATCGGGGCTTCTTGACGGCCAAGGAAGCGTTGTAATGCGATTTTCTTCTAGCCAATTATGAACCACATGAGCAGTGTGAACTGGCGAGTTATCCTTAAAATGAAAAAAAAATATTTTTTTGATCAGGAAAGATAAATCATAAAGTGTTACGTGTTGAAACACAAAATCATTATCAAATCTTTCTTGCACTGACGGGAGCATTACATCGTTTAAAATTTCCACGTATCGGTTCCCAGTTAATCGGCCTTCTACAATATGAAGATGATATATATATATGGATATCCACGCCCACACGTGGACAGAAAATCTTCCGCTGTTGTCAGTTTTGTGGAGGTATTCTTCATCAAACTTATGGTTTCTGGGACGATAAACTCGCAGTTGCCCATTGTAGCAGGATTGAAATATTTTTTCATCTGAAAAGACTCGCTCCCAATATTCAGCGTTTTGATTTAAAAAATTATTTGCAAACTCCACTCTTGCCTCTTTATTAACATCCGTCAAGCGAGGCTTTTTAGCAGTCACGCAGTTAAATAAACCTTGTTCTCGCAACCGTTTTCTTGCCGTCCTAACAGATGCTGGGAAGTTGGTGAGGCAAAACCCATATTCAACCAACTCGTTTTCGTTTACTGAAGTTGTCTTTCTTGGACGCCCAGAACCCATTACCCTACTCAGGTCACCAGTTTCCACCCACTTTTTGTTTAATTTTTGAATAGCGCTTTTGCTGCAGTTTATTTCATCTGCTATTTGCTGTTGAGACCATCCTTCTTCAATTTTGGCGATAATATAGCCTTTCTCTGCTTTACTTAAAGTATGGTAAGGCATAATTAAATAATGACTATACTTAATTTAAGATTTACTTAATTTAAGATGACGTTACTTAATTTTATAAAATTATTTTTGAAATGCCACTGGTGACAACCATATTTACAACGGGAAAATTAGTCGATTACTTTTTATCGGCCGCAATAGTACCTACAGGGTTGCCAAACCACCTCTTTCTCTTTAATACGTAAGTAGTTGATTTTTGATTTTAATGATTTTATATTTAAATATAATTAATAAATAATAAAGTACGTATACGTACGTATACGTTGACAGTCTTGAGGTTTTTATTTTTTTTTAACTTTTTTTTGTAATAAAAATAATAAAATATGTGCGCCCGGGGGGGGGTCCGGACCCGGCGGACCCCCCCCTAAATACGCCACTGATATAGAGTAAAATTACAACTTATCGTAGTAGATTTCCCAACATATCTTGGAAGATTACTCAAATTGTTTTATAATTTTGTATTGGTATACCTACACTGATTTGTAATTTTACTCATCCTTTGTTTTGCAAAATAATTGGAAATAATTGGAATTTTACATGATTAAAATGATATATAGTAAAAATGCAAACAAGTTGTATAAAATAAATAATGATTTGTATATTTCCAAACACACAAATTTTGGTTAGTAATTTTATTGATTATCTTAGTAAAATTAAATTTCGAATATATAGAAAGTTTACAAAAGTTCAAATTCAACTCTACAATACAGAATTGTAAAATTACTATTAGTATGATACTTAAAGTATCTAACAAAAATAAAAACATTGTAATATTTGAACCTGTTTAGTACTTTGACTATAACAAAATGTAATATTACAAAACCAGGGCCGGCAGAACACATTTAGCCCGAGTGAGTAGTTAGGCGGAGAAAGGGGGTCCCCTACTCAGCTTTAATTTCGGAAAATTAACATTTTGAATAATCAATATTATAAAAATATATTGGAAAATAAGGAGCTTTAAAAGGTAACTATATAAAGTAATAAATAACAATGTATTTTTGTAGATTAACAATTTTTATTTGTTATCTAAAATAGCAAAAACAGCCGTTCTTTTTTTATTGCGAACAATAAACTCATTTATTAGAGTATCCAAATTGAGTTTGTCCGCTAAATCAGAGTAAGAATGCAAGATTGCTACGTGATTTAGTCGGTTTTGTGCCATTGATCTTAAATAATTTTTTAAACGACGCAAAACTGAAAAACTTCTTTCGTTGGAACACGAAGATCCTGAAATTGTAATTATTAATTGAAGAAATCGCATTAATTCCGGAACAATGTTCATTTATTAACATTTATTTTCCGAGTGAGTATATGGGCAAATTTTCATTAAATGTACATTTTCTGTCCCCAGCTAATTTTATTTTTATTTTTGACCTTTGTTGATAAGTTTTGTATTTATTATATTTAAATACCCCTGTTAGGACCCATCGTATTTTTTTTTAATTACTTTGTGTTTCTATATGGCAGAAAAACTAGGTGAAATGTCCTGTAACCTAACTGTCCCCAGAGGCGATTTTTTAATTTAAATTATTATATTCTTATTCTTTGCAGCTTTCTTCTGAAAAAATAAATTATTTTTGAACAAGGGAAAGTTATTTTATTCGTATATAAAACTAAAATAGTTTTCTACAAAGTAGTTTAAACAGAAAAAAATATTAAAGTTGACATTCAAAAATCTTTTGGTGTCTTTTACAAAACGCTACATAGAACTCTTGTTTTAGAAGTTACCTTTTTTATTTTCATTTTGTATTATAGCATAGTAGAAATTCCAAACAAATGCCGAAAGATATTTACATTTAACAGTATTTCTGAAAAATAACGTTTGAAAAAGTCAAAAGCAATGTGTCATAAAACGTTCAGGAAGATGCGTTAGGAGGAGGACAATGTTTCATTTCTTTCTTGTGTTCCTTCCCTATTTCAGATTAACCCTATAAGTTTTATTTCTTTAAAGTTTATTTTTGTTATTTATAAACTTATAGAATTTTTTTGCAGTTTATTACACTGTTTTATCACAAAGGAAAAAAAATTATCAAATTTACCTGAATGGACAAAATATATATACAAAATGTACATTTAACGAAAATTCGCCCATATACCTACTCAGGAATTTTTCGAGTGGGTAGTAGTACCTATACTACCATGGTCTTCCGCCGGTCCTGATTACAACAAATGCGTATTAAAATTGCAATACAATACAACATTTTGTAATTTTACTATGCAACTGCTTAGTAACATGTTAACAGTAACAGTGTTGATAAAGAAATTTTAACTGAAAGCTAACTCTGATTTTTTCCTCCAGATTATTGACATATCACCCCCTGGAAATAGCCATTGCATTTCAGTCGTGGTGGATTAGATTATCGAATATCTGCCACGGGCTGCTTGGTGGTTTGGCGCTAAGCCACTGGCTCTATCTCATATGCAACCTCAACGCCGAAGACAATGTGTTTCTGATGCATTACGCTCTTTACAGCGACATCTTCGCGGCCCTTTTTTATGGCCTGTGCGTGGTCTGCATCATATCAGTTTTGGATAGGTAAGAAATAAATCAAGAAAAAATTAAATTGTTCCTTATTTTTGCGTCTCACTGTATATTAAAATAATAAATATTTTTTGTGTACATTTTTTAGGATTGATATTGAAGAAATGGATTCTTCCAATATTGGACTTTTAAAGAATAAGAATGCTGTGGTATTTATTATTTATGTTGTTTGTTTGATTCTTCACTTATCTGCATCCACATTGGATGACAAAATAGGATACTTAGCCCTTAATGAAACATCTGCAAATGTAAGTTGACAGTGTCGAATTAAAAAAAAACTGCATTATAATATTTGGTTGATATTTGGTCCAATAAACCATGGTGTAATTTTGACTCATCTTTGATATAATCTTCTAAAATATAATATATTTTTTTTAGATTACGTTAAGTGAAATTCGTACTTGGAACCATCTGTCCTTGTGGCGTGCGATTTTCGCATTCGTTGCATGGGTATTTCTTGGTATGGTGCCTTCCGATGACATGCTTTACACGAATCTCAGAAGCATGGAAAAATATATTCCAGATTAAAATTTAAAAAACATTAAAACCCTGAAGTATATTTTTGAAGAACACCCTAATAATAAGAACAATAAACGAGGTCTAAAATTCTTCTTCAAATTCACCTTTACCCTTAGGGCGCCAATTTTTGAACACCTTGTATATTACAATAAATAAAATATACGAAATCATACATTCAATTGGGTCTTCAAACATATATTTTAGCACCTTCAACATTAAAATATGGAACAAGCAAACACAAAATGTTATAGCATACCAAGTAAGAAAAAAATACTATGATATATTATAGGTAAGCATATTGGTTATTGTGATAAAATTTTAATAAATAAAGACTGTAAAATTAAAAATCTTGAATTTTAAAATACCAACTTTTTTTTCTTCTCCTCAAAGAATCCATGTCAAAAGTCACTAACTTCATATACCTACTTACCTGGTAAGTATCCTTTTTCTATGGTAAGTATAAATGTATAGTATTTTTTGGTAGTTATAGGTATATGTAGGTAACTAACTTTTGCCTCACATGATACCTTCTTCCATAAATATAACTTCACACGACACCTAACTTTCTACAGCGTTATAAAGCCAGTTCCTCTACTTCCCGGTAGGTGTCGCAACATACAACGCACTCACAAATTTTAATACAATCGTGGAAAATTTTTGTATGGTAATTATGTCCTCTAAAATGATAAATGACTTTACTAAATAACAGTTCTAATTGGTTATTAAAAACCTTTTGAACACTTTAACTATATTTGTTTGTAAGTTGGTAATTGAAAATTAAAGCGTAATGATTTAATTATCATTACAGTGGGAAACAAGCAACTTTTTAAAAGTTTTATTATTTTTATTAAACAACTGATTGTTGTAGATTAATTAGACAGGATCAAACAGCATAACTTTTTTATTCACAATTATTTTTAGGTTATAAACAACGATTTAATAATACATATATGAAAGAAAATTATTATTATTATTACATAAAATTGTAAAGCTAAAACTTAATAAACTTAATTAAATTAGGATTTACGTATTTCCTATATTAATAAATAACGGCATACATTTATTCATTCAATTCAGTTAATTATAGGCAGTCGGTAATTAATTGTTAATTAATTAATGGGTATTAAAATCGTTTCTGAAAAAATATCTGTTAATTTAAAATGTGGGTATCCTCAATTAATTAAAAAACAAACTTGTAACCATTTGTCATTCACCAAGGTAATTTATATAATTATTATGAGTAAAGTAAGTTCAGCATTTTAAAAATAAAAATAATTTTTTAAAATAAAATTTTTTATGAATAAATAAAAAATAATGAATATTGTTAAAAAAAATATCATGTAAATGCAATATTTTTGTTTATTCATTGCATTTAATAAATAAATTATCAAGATGAATAAATATAAAATAATTTTTAGAAATTTACATACCCACCTAGTAATGACAAATAAACCAATAAATTAAAACTAATTACCTATTCAGTGCTTGGATATTGGAATTTTATTTAAATACCTTTAAAATGAAATTAAATTTTAATAATTAATAAAGTTAATTTGACTGTGTGGTTAAAAACATGCGCAAAATTTATTTGCAACTTAAAATCGCAATGCTGCGTCATCACAAGGTTTTTTGACAAAACCAAGTTCGTTCTGTGGAAGTTCAATGAAACGCTTATTATTTATAATATTATTTATATCATTTATTATGTCAAGGAACACAAGATTTGTAAATACTTACTTTATTGGCAGCAAAAGGATTATCATTACAGAAAAATTTACAGGGAAGTTGTAAATCATTAAGTTTAATGCTAGGAGTACCTACTTATGAATTATCCAAGAATATCTGCATTTATTTAATGTCAAATAAAAGGTGTACAAAACCCTTTTGTTATGAAAACCCCAAATTCCATGAAAAATTGTATCAGTTTACGTAACTTTTTAAACACCCTGTATATCCAAATTCTTATGCAAATGTTCAGTAAGAATAATATTGGAAGGTGTGTAAAGTATGATAAGTGTTAATATAAAGTGGACCGCGAATAAAAATAAAAAAATATAAAGTACAGGGTGATCTACTTCAATCGAGCATTGGAATTTCCCGGCTGTCTGCTTGCATATTAAGATATGCTAAAATTACAACAGTTGATATGCAATTTTTACTTGTTAATCATGCACAAATAACTTGAATATGTATAGTTGTAAAGTTACCAGTTTAACATATTTTTTTTTTAATTCCCAAGTTAGAAATTCTTACGCCAGTTACTCTATTTTTTTATAGATGTCGCTCTACATAAATATTTAGTTAATATCATTTTTAGGTAATAAGTATAGTATGCAACTCGTTTATAAACTCGCTCCTGCCTAATTAAAATTCGTGACTAAAAAAGCGTGTATCAAACTTGATACATAATATACTATTCTACTCCCACATTTAACACGCCCATTATCGCACAAGTTTGAGGCTTTATGGCGCTTTAGCCACGGGCTGAACTTAGCTTTAACTAAGTTGACAGTTGTCAAATGTCATACAATCGTTCAAATCAAATTAAGATTATTTAATTTTATGATATAACACAATGTTGCTAAACTTTAACTTTAATTCTTAATGAGTCAAAAAAATATTTTGTTTTACAGGATGTCTCGAAAATAGCGTAAGGGAAGTTTAGTTTTTTTAAATTTCTTTCTCGTTTCTTTAGTGGTTTCTTTAGGGTCTTTAGTTGATTTAGGTTCTAAGAGTTTTTTTTTTGTTTCTTTAGTAGTTTCTTTACCTTTTTTAGTTTTTTAAGAGTGATCACTTGAGTTTCTTTCAAGTGTGTTACTGTAAATTAAGTTTATTTTGAGTGATTTTCTTTGTAGTGAGTATTTTTAAAGTGAGTTTCTTAAGCATTTTTAGTTCTCTATTTTTGTTAGTTTCTTTAGAGTTTCTTAAGAGTGAGTTTTTTAGAGTGAAATTCTTTAAAGAGAGGTTCTGTAGAGTGAATTTCTTTAGTTTCTTTAAAGTTTTTTTAAAGTGAGTTTATTTAGTTTATCTAGTTTTTATAGTTTTTTAGCTTTTTTTAGTTTTTTTAGTTTCTTTAGTTTATTTGGTTTCTCTAGTTTTTTTAGTTTCTTTAGTTTCTTTAGTTTCTCTAGTTTTTTAGTTTCTTTAGTTTCTTTAGATTCTTGAGTTTCTTTAGTTTTTTTTAGTTTTTTAGTTTATTTAGTTTCTTTAGATTCTTTAGTTTCTCTAGTTTTTTAGTTTCTCTAGTTTTTTTCAGTTTCTTTAGTTTCGTTAGTTTCTTTAGTTTCTTTATTTTCTTTAGTTTCTTTATTTTCTTTAGTTTCTTTATTTTCTTTAGTTTCTTTAGTTTCTTTAGTTTCTTTAGTTTCTTTAGTTTCTTTAGTTTCTTTAGTTTCTATAGTTTCTTTAGTTTCTTTAGTTTCTTTAGTTTCTTTAGTTTCTTTAGTTTCTTTAGTTTCTTTAGTTTCTTTAGTTTCTTTAGTTTCTTTAGTTTCTTTAGTTTCTTTAGTTTCTTTAGTTTCTTTAGTTTCTTTAGTTTCTTTAGTTTCTATAGTTTCTATAGTTTCTCTAGTTTCTTTAGTTTCTCTAGTTTTTTAGTTTCTGTAGTTTCTTTAGTTTCTTTAGTTTCAATAGTTTCTTTAGTTTCAATAGTTTCTTTAGTTTCTTTAGTTTCTCTAGTTTTTTAGTTTCTGTAGTTTCTCTAGTTTTTTTAGTTTCTTCAGTTTCTTTAGTTTCTTTAGTTTCTTTAGTTTCTTTAGTTTCTTTAGTTTGTTTAGTTTCTATAGTTTCTATAGTTTCTATAGTTTCTATAGTTTCTATAGTTTCTTTAGTTTCTCTAGTTTTTTAGTTTCTGTAGTTTCTTTAGTTTCTTTAGTTTCAATAGTTTCTTTAGTTTCTTTAGTTTCTTTAGTTTCTTTAGTTTATTTAGTTTCTTTAGTTTCTTTAGTTTCTTGAGTTTCTTTAGTTTCTTTAGTTTCTTTAGTTTCTTTAGTTTCTTTAGTTTCTTTAGTTTCTTTAGTTTCTTTAGTTTCTTTAGTTTCTTTAGTTTCTTTAGTTTCTTTAGTTTCTTTAGTTTCTTTAGTTTCTTTAGTTTCTTTAGTTTCTTTAGTTTCTTTAGTTTCTTTAGTTTCTTTAGTTTCTCTAGTTTCTTTAGTTTCTCTAGTTTCTTTAGTTTCTTTAGTTTCTATAGTTTCTATAGTTTCTATAGTTTCTATAGTTTCTTTAGTTTCTCTAGTTTCTCTAGTTTTTTAGTTTCTGTAGTTTCTTTAGTTTCTTTAGTTTCTTTAGTTTCTTTAGTTTCTTTAGTTTCTTTAGTTTCTTTAGTTTCTTTAGTTTCTTTAGTTTCTTTAGTTTCTTTAGTTTCTTTAGTTTCTTTAGTTTCTATAGTTTCTATAGTTTCTATAGTTTCTTTAGTTTCTTTAGTTTCTCTAGTTTCTTTAGTTTCTCTAGTTTTTTAGTTTCTGTAGTTTCTTTAGTTTCAATAGTTTCTTTAGTTTCTTTAGTTTCTTTAGTTTCTTTAGTTTCTTTAATTTCTTTAGTTTTTACTACTAAAAAATTTTTTAGACAAATCTTAAATTAATTGGTGATTTTATATTAAAAATACGAAATTCATAAAGTAAATTAAAAAAAACAAATCCTAAGCTTCTTAGTTTTTTTATGTAACGCGTAGGTACAGGTCCACATTTATAAATATGTCCCCATTATCTTTTAAATTAAATTAAAGGTAATCCCCGTTAAGTAGCTTAAAATAGTGTTAATAAAGCCCGAAAAACGTAAGCAGCAGCACTAAAACAAAACAAAAAGAGAAAGAGAAACAATAGAGTCGACCAAATGGAGGAGCCAGAGATAAAGAGGAGCTAGAGTAAAAGAGCGGTAAGAATTGAAAACCCAGCACGAAACAATTTGTCATCGGCTTGTTTTGCGCATCTTGATTACCGACCTCGTGTCGACTCAAGCGCACTGATGTTCTTTTGTCTCGTCGCCCCGCCTACTATCGGCCGTATTAAACGCGACGAGTGCAAGAAGGCTGCGGACGATTCCGAAATAAATAAATGCCATTGTCGCTCGATTAGGCCAAGATAAAAACGAAGAAATCGCGTGAACCGGTGATTTTTTGCCCGAGGGTTTGGCACAACACTTTCGGCATGACAAACTGCGAAAATCGTCGTCCAAAAATAGCGCACGCCGTGCAGTATG